GATATGGAATAGCTGCATTACTCGACAAATAAAGATGACATCAGACGCTAGCCATCATTACATTTGCATAGTGACGTTATGGTTTGGTGGCGGAGGGACAGTCAGATGGAAGGTTGAAGAACCCAGAACCAGAAGTATTCACGCAATGCCGAACATGGTGCCAACTTTAATTTCTGAGTTGGCAATATATTAGGGGCACAGCGAGTGGAATGAACTATGCACATTGAGGAAGACCATCAGGTCAAAACCCGTTGTGCTATATACTGTTGTGGACTTTTCTGCTACTTTTGTCTGTTGCTAGATTTGCACAGATTTTTATTTAGTTTTTTACGTTTGCTACAATAAATGTGTTAACTTTACCTTCATACCTAACTGGCTCTTGGTTCCTGAAGGAGTGGAAAAGAATACTGGAAACAACAGTGAAATATTTATATAACTATATGCCTGCAGAGTCGGCGCCTAGTATAAATGGCATTGAAGATTGTGAGTTACTAATTGTCACTATTGGTTTCTATATTTGTCTTGTTTTTTCAGTATTACACTGAGAAGTGTTCTGTTTTATAATTTTAGATGCATTGTGGATTTCCTTCTCTAATTAAGTGGACCGAGTGACTAAGTGTTTATACATCTTTTACTTTACTCACTTTTTGTGTGTGATTTTAAATTGTGACCCCAATCTTTTGTATTTTGTAAAGACACACAGATACAAACAGACATGCATACAGATACACAGGCACACATATAGATACACAGACACACATACAGATACACAGACACATACAGATACATAGACACACATACAGATACACAGACAAACATACAGATACACAGGCACACATACAGATATACAGACACATACAGATACACAGACAAACATACAGATACACAGGCACACATACAGATATACAGACACACATACAGATACACAGACAAAAATACAGATACACAGACACATACAGATACACAGACACACATACAGATACACAGACACATACAGATACATAGACACACATACAGATACACAGACAAACATACAGATACACAGGCACACATACAGATATACAGACACATACAGATACACAGACAAACATACAGATACACAGGCACACATACAGATATACAGACACACATACAGATACACAGACAAAAATACAGATACACAGACACATACAGATACACAGACACACATACAGATACACAGACACATACAGATACATAGACACACATACAGATACACAGACAAACATACAGATACACAGGCACACATACAGATATACAGACACATACAGATACACAGACAAACATACAGATGCACAGGCACACATACAGATATACAGACACACATACAGATACACAGACAAAAATACAGATACACAGACACACATATAGATACACAGACACATACAGATACATAGACACACATACAGATACACAGACACATACAGCTACATAGACACACATACAGATACACAGACACATACAGCTACATAGACACACATACAGATACACAGACACATACAGATACATAGACACACATACAGATACACAGACAAACATACAGATACACAGGCACACATACAGATATACAGACACATACAGATACACAGACAAACATACAGATACACAGGCACACATACAGATATACAGACACACATACAGATACACAGACAAACATACAGATACACAGGTACACATACAGATACACAGACACATACAGATACACAGACACACATACAGATACACAGACACATACAGATACACAGACACACATACAGATACACAGACAAACATACAGATACACAGGCACACATACAGATACACAGACACATACAGATACATAGACACACATACAGATACACAGACAAACATACAGATACACAGACACACATACAGATACACAGACACATACAGATACATAGACACACATACAGATACACAGACAAACATACAGATACAGAGGCACACATACAGATACACAGACACACATACAGATACACAGACACATACAGATACACAGACAAACATACAGATACACAGACACATACAGATACACAGACACACATACAGATACACAGACAAACATACAGATACACAGACACACATGCAGATACACAGACACACATACAGATACACATACAGATACACAGACACACATACAAATACATAGACAAACATACAGATACACATGCAAAAATTTACCAAATTTTTGCTACACTCTTGTTTCTTAGAGAAGGTTGGCTTCTGCTGACTGAGGCTGTGAGGAAGTAGAGTTTGGTTCTGCTGTTTGCACAAACCTCCATTCAGACTCTACCACCTTAATTTCTCCTCCTGTGAGGATCTGTGTCTGCAGCTGGGAGGAAGTGACAGACTCTTACTTCCTCCTAACACTGGATGCAGATATGAGTGTGCATTAGTCATCAGTCATCTGGTTATACGCTGCAGGTGCCTGCAGCGTATGACCAGGTGCTTGATGACCAATGCATGGGCCACCCAAAGGGCCTTTTCTGCATGCAGGTCACACTGGCTATACCGGCAGTAACTCAACTGCTGACTCACAAGTTTTTGAACGCCCAGTCCCAGCACATAGTACATAGCGCACTGTATGCCACCAAAATCTATAATGAAGCCCCATATCAGTGACCTTGGCAGCATGTCCTTCTTAGCGAGTGGTTGACTACATGATATATACATGCACAGGACTGGCGCCACCTTTGACAAGATAGGCACCGGCCTATAGCACACATTTGGAAGGGGTGCCCCACGCCGTCACACGCGGCACTTCTTCATCCTACATGTGCCGCGGACCATGGTGCCAGTACCGACATGCGGCACTGAGGAGAGAGGGGCACAGGCACCTCTCTGAAAAGAGTGATTCAGTGAGCGCATAGACAACTTATTCCAGCGCCCGGTTTGTGTACCAGGCAGCTGCATTTTATAATTCTTAGCCAGCCTCCAGCTCATCCTTATTTTAAGGAAGAGCTAGAGTTTAAGTTAGAACAGCAGGTGCCCTGTCAACAGGGAGGAGAGGGGGAGAGGGGGGAAGGAAGGGAGAGAGGGGGTGGGGAGCCTGCATATAACATGACTCTACCCCTGCTCCTCCCCTCTCCATCTACGAGAACTAGAAGGTTGGTGCAGACCCTCACTTGTTGCGGATCCAGCCCCAGCCAAGCCATGAACAATCCCAGTAGGAGACGGATCAGGAGTCTTGGCTGGGTGACAATTATTGCTCGATCAATAACAAGGTACTCTACCTATTATTATTTTATTTACATACATTGCCCCTTGTAAAGTACAGAATAGGGGACAGCATGCACTTTATTTAGAGGTTAGAGGGCATCACACATGATAAATGATGAGGTTATGGGGACAGCATATTGTGAAGTTAGGGCCTAACCTCAAAATAATGTTGATGCTGTCAACCATAACCTCATAATAAACCAACTAGATACATATTGTATTGCACACCCACAACCAAGCTACAGAGTGTGTTTGCAATAGGTACAATAGGTACTACACCAGCAGCATCCTAAACCTAGGGTTAGTCACTGAAGGGAGAATTCTTAGTGAATTTCAAATTGAAGGTCAGAGTAGCCGAACTCAAAGCGTAGCTAACTTATGGAATTTTTCCAGTTTAAAGGAGCAAAAATGTTAAATGCAACAATCAGCAGCTCTGTGGTCCATGGCTCAGCCTTTTCCCTACAGATAGTGGCGAGCGCTCGAGTCCAAGCTGCGGGTAAGGAGTATGCACAGAACGGAGTATCCCAGCTTCCTGACGTACTGTTCAGAGGCAGACTTAGAGCTTTGTTGTTTATACAACTCGCTGCAGTTCTAAATCTGAGAGATAGTGCTGGGTACTCTGCTCTCTGCACTACTAGCATTGCAATTATGCAAAGTTGTGATGGTACTTAGATGTTTTATCTTTCATTGTACATTGTGTCTGAAGAAGAGATCTGAGTGGTCTTTAAAGCTTGCACTGTTAATACACTAAGTTGGGGAATGGAATGTCACCCTCATCTCTACTAACACTCCTCTACACTTTCATATTCAGGGAATAAACCATTAAAGGGTTTCTACCCTAATGACCCACTGCCAAGCAATGTTCAGGCCATACTAGCTGTGCTGTTTGCTTTGTAGATCATTTTTGACCTAAATGTTTTCAGCTTTCAATTGACCACCATTCACTGTTTAGTAAATAAACCCTTAATCCATATTGGTCAGGATAGGCGCACTATAATGACCGCAGAAGGACGCACCCAAGTCCTCTAACGGTGTGATAAATAACAATTTTAAAAAAATGTTTTTTTTTGGAAATCTTAAACAGATTTATGGCTAGTGTTCTTTACAGCTTCTAGTGGAATCATGAGAGCAAGAGCTCGCGTGTTCTGATAATGTACATTTCATGGGAGATAACCTCTTGGCTCAAAGAACAGAGATAAAACATCATTAGTTACTTTTGCATGTGTTAAGTACAAAGTACACTCTCAGTAAATACATGAATCTAGTGTCTTTCAGTGAGAGATACACTGTGGTCCATATATGGTTGAACAAATATTATACAGCCCAGGGCGCTATTGCACACCAGCAGTCCAGGATTTGCCATTAACTCAATAGTAACAGACCTAGGAAAGGCCTACAATTTTGGACTCTTGATGTTCTTTGAGGGCTGAGTTAGGAACCAGTGGGTTAGCCAATGGCTGTTCAGGCATTGTAAGTTACAAATTGCATTGAAAGTCAGCCAGGTATTTTAAGTCAATCTGATTATTGCCTCCAGGAGGATGAGTTAAAGGTACATTCCAAGCACCATAACCACTACAGCTTACTGCAGAGCGTTTGTAGGCAAATAATTCTCAAGCACCACTCCTGTAAAAAAATTTTTTTAAATAGTCAAAAGATAAAGATTTAAAATGATACAATTATATAAAAATGCTATGGATATACATAGTGTGTATGTATGTCAGTTTATAAAAACAGCAATAATTACATGCTCAGGGTTAAGGGTGATGGGAGTTTGCACCCAGACCAACCCAGATGACTTTATCCCTGTAAATGCCACCTACTTCACTGGTTACTTTATGGCCATCACACGCTTGGCAGGATTTTCTCTGAAAAGGCAGTGTTACATTAAAAAGCCTGCAGAGACAGGCTATGCACACCAGAACAACTATATTAAGCCTTTAAGGACACATTGCAGAGGAGGCCAGGTGGGGAGCAGACAGTAAAAGGTCTGTAGGGCTTCGCTTCCACCAACTTTAGAACTGGATATTGGGTAACACATTGACAGTTACAATCCATATTAATCTACATATTGCCTAGGCTTGTGATGGATTCTATAATGTCATTTAAACATTGTTCCACAATCTGACTGATTAATGACTTGTTAAGCTTGTGACAATAGAATTGTCCCAACCCCTTCACAGGCGTTCCCTGTCTATCCGTAACTAGAGGTCACAGAACGAGCTCTGGGAACATTCTATCTCCCGTACTACTTGATGTTTCATGTTTTCTTCTCAGCAACTGAAATGGGAATCTTCATCCAAACTGTCGCTTTGTGCTGTCTGATGCTGGGTGTCTCTGTAACAGGTGATAAACAATATACAGATTATCTATTGGATGTCAGAAGAAATATGGAGTTTTACAAGTTACAAAAAATATTTTATAGCATTGACCATCACTAACTGTCAGACTGATTTTCCTTGTTTTGTTAACTTATGTGATTGGGATTTTATATCGGAAGTGTTTTAGAATGTATCCCATTGCTGGAGGGTGTAAATATCTGATGTATACAAGAGTTTATGCATTAATCACTGAACTGCAGTGTAGTGAATTGTAAAATTTCTAAATTAAGGGCAAAAATATATATCTTAGTTTCTTCACAGCTTGAAATTTCAGACTACATTTTACAATTCACTATAATCCAATGTTTGGTGAATAATCCCCTGCAGTGCAAGGAATTGACATAGGTACCAACAGTCCCAAATTTGCTGCGACAGTCCCGCATTTTGGGGTTCTCTTTCAGCAAAAATTGGTCTCTGTCACCTGTCCCTCATTTTAAAATTTGCCGGCAGATTACTAAATGCGTGAGGGGACTGAGCACTTGCACCATGCACAGAGCACTTTAACATGGTCTGTGGGAGGAGGTATACTGCCTGGCATCCCGCTTAGGTCTCCCATCCCATTGACGGGCAGACCTATACCTTGCACAGTGCCACAGGTGGACAGGGGACATTGGCAGGTGTGACTTTAGTGACTGAGAGCATAATCTAGGTTTGCAGTGAGATAAACTGATATTACATCACACCAAGTGCAGGTACCAGGATTGTTATCAGTAAGTCAATCTGCACCTCTGCATTTAGCCTAAACATCCCAGCGTTACATGTGACATTAAATCATTCCCACAATGGATTTCTCCTTAAATAGACACTAATTGTACCAGAATATTCACTGAGTAAGATTATCCTCAATAATGGGTCACATGTGCTGTAAATCCAGCCCTGAGTGAACTAAGAACTTTGGAACAGTGCAATCTACACATCATTCCCTGTTCATACACTCTGGGATCCAACATTCTAACCTGTGTCTGGTCTCTAGAGATGACAGTAATTTCTAAAACTACCCCCAATGAGAATATCAAGCATTAAATAATATATCTTCACAAGTAGGGTGAGGCACCGAGAAAGCCTCTGGCATAACAAGGAGTTACTGCTTGATCTATAGGGCAAGGGTTACAAACAATACATCATGGGGTAAGGAGGGTCATGCGTAACTGGCCTGGTTCAGAGAAAGACCTAACCTAAGCACACCAGGCCAAAGACCCTAAGACCTTAACAGATTAGGGGCAGATTAGTCTATGCAGCACTAAAGTTATTTGGGCAGGCCTCCGAACCATCCCGATTTCTCAGTCCAGCTTTTCAGGTCCTGTCCCACCGTCCTGTTGGGACACCAGGGAACTGTTCCTAAAGAGTGTAGTGTGAGTACATCATTAGAGGCGCTCACTCTGTACTCAGGGAATGAGGACTCTAGCACTGAAACAGTGCTCCCTGTGTGGTCTTTGCTCAGCGGGTTGGGACGGCTTGATTGGCAGGCAGCCTGATATGCATTCACACCGGGCTAACCTGCCAGTAATTTGGGGAGACTCAAACCTTCCCAGGCAGGTCTGTCCCCTTTGGACATGATCACTGCACGGGCTTTGCCCCTTCACCCCTCCCTATGTTGGGGTGGGGGGTGATTCTGCAGTTTGTGTTGTACCTGGGGAGGATATCGGTGCCTGTCTGGACACATGCTATGACAGTGGCAATCACATTTCAGGGGAGCAGCGGATCACAAAATAACCATCAGGCAGCTAGGACCTAATGCAATGTATAGGCCTGGAACTTCAGCTGCAAGCAGACCCTGGTCCATGGGGCAAAGTAGAACAGTCACCATGGAAACCACTGGAATATTCATAAACATAGATACTGGTTGCTTCTGTTAGAACGTTTAGATGTATTTGGCAAATATGTCTGTTTTTCCAACAGGGGTGTCTATGTTTCAAGCTCCATTTAACAGTGAACTATGGTGCCTACAATGCTCTGTCAGCAAAATGATAAAATCGGGCAGTCATTCAGGCCTGTGATAAAATATAAAGAAGATAAGAATGATTTAGTGTTTTTCATATGAGGAGTAATCTAGGATTGCTGGGACCTCTGTACATTGTATTGTACAAACGCACGAGCCAAAGTCTAATTACTGTGATAACCTGCATTGGCCAAACCCTTTAAACAGTTTATCATACATACAAAATATACCAATAGCAGTCTGTTAGATACATCACATACTACAATAACAGTTTATTATATAGACACGATATACCAATAGCGGTTTATAATAAATACCAGATATGCCAATAGCAGTCTGTTATATACACCACATATTTCAATAACAGTTTATTATATATGTGGCAAAGATGCCTCTGCCACAAGTTCCTGTAGGAGCCTGCTGGGTAGCCTCCTGCCCAAGGACTATAGGCCATGTAACAGACATGCTAAAAGACTGTGTTCGTGGGATTTCCCTGTATGGTTTGGGAACTGAACAAACCCACAAAGGTCCACCCGGATGCTTGTTAAGTCCTATTGACACCTTTTAATGATTCACACCTCAGTCGGCTGGGTGGCCGCCATTCGAATGCATGAACACGTGGTGGCAGCCATCTTGTTCGCACAAACACAGGCAGTGGTTATCACGGCACTGCCGAGTACTCACTCGCTTCTAGGCTCCCATGGGCTCCTCATGGTGGAGCCGCGGCACTTTCCGCTCTCCAAGCCTCCTCTCCTGGGTCTGCGGTGGTTCCCTGACTTCCTTTTATAGACCCTGCTTCCTCCACCTGTGGTGGCTGATCGCATCTCCCTATTTAAACCCTACACGCCTCTCAGTCGGTGCTTGGTTATTTTCCTTGCTCCTGTATCCTAGCCTTTTGACCTGATTCCTGATCCTTGGACTCCTGGCTAAGGGGCTGAAAGTGCTAATGGTGTCCCGGCGATAGCTAGGAAGCGTGCTTGGCGGAGGTACCCAGTCGGGGTACCAGGCGGTCAGCCACAATATATACCAATATCAGTTTATCATATATACAGCTGGACTTTGTGCTTAGTGTATGATTAATAACTTAATAAAGGGGATAATTAAATGAGTAAACTTTTTAATCTTGTTATGACGCCCATGAAACGTGTTATTGTGTGAAAATCTGAAGAATACAAGAACCAACCACGTTCATTCTACCGTAATGTAACCGTAATGTAACCTGTAAACTACTACAATCACATACATATAAGTATGTTAACGCTATATAAATAAAATATACATACATAGCCTGGGGCAGAGGAGGGGCAGTTGGAGCCTGGGGCAGAGGAGGGGCAGCTGGAGCCTGGGGCAGAGGAGGGACAGGGAGTACATGGGGCAGAGGAGGGGCCGGGGGAGCCTGTGGCAGACAAGAAGCAGGAGGAGCCTGGTGCAGAGGAGAAACAGGGGGAGTCTGGGGCAGAGGAGGAGCTGCGGGAGCTGAGGAGGGGCAGGGAGAGCCTGGGGAAGAGGAGGGACAGGGAGAGCCTGGAGCAGAAGACTGGCAGGGAGATCCTGGGGCATAGGAGGGACAGGGAGAGCCTGGGGCAGAGGATGGGCAGGGAGATCCTGGGGCAGAGGAGGGACAGGGAGAGCCTGGGGCAGAGAACAACATATACATTTGAAATGACAGCAACTATTTTAAGTACAAACATTTTTCTAATATGAGTAGAACTATTTATGGAGATGGACTACCAAGGGGTACACAAGTGAAAACAAAATGTTGGGAACCACTGCCCTAGTCCATTTCCTCTCAAGTCCTACTCTCTTTAGGATCTATTTTTTTCTATATTTTGCTTTTTCTTAGGGCAAGAAAATGCTCAACCTGTAGTGGCTACAAAGTATGGGAGACAAAGTGGGAAATTGGTGACAGTAAGAGGTACAGAGCGTAGAGTACATGTGTTTCTTGGGATTCCTTTTGCTAAGCCTCCTGTTGGAGAATTACGATATGTCCGTCCGCAACCCCCAGAACCTTGGAACTCCCTAAGAGATGCAACTAAAGACCCTCCAATGTAAGTATTAAACATAACAGTATGGCATTAAGGTATGCAGAGCTTCTCCAATTCATAAATAATTAGATTTAAATAGCTGATATTTGTTTAGTCAATTTTACAAATACCATTATTCAACACCAGGGGGCGCCAATTTACCTCATACGTACGTGGTCAAAGCTGAGAATCTACAGTATTGCTTGACGTTTAATGGTCATAGCATCTTCATATTCACCGCATATCGACACTCCTTCGCAGAGTACAGAGATATCATACAATATGACTGGATTTCGTACACTTACCATTTTTGAGTTCCTCTGTTAGAAACAAGTATGGATTATTCATTAACATTCATAGGGTTATTCAACACACTGTGAGATATTCACAGTCAGTGTAACATACATTTTAGGTCAAAATAATAATAATTATTAAAAAAAAAAATGGTTATTAAACCGAAAACACGGCTGCCGTGGAGAATATTTTTTTTTAAATATTGGCTACTTTGTCCAAGAATTTAAAATTAATATTCTGAATATTTATAGCATTCTCTAAATTCCGCATACTCCTGTTCTGGATTATCAACAACATTCTGGGGTCATTCAAAATTTGCAAAATTTGTACATTGTTCTCAAATTTGGATCCAGCAAAATGGCTGAAATCTTACTGTAAATTAAATTGTAGAGATAGCTTAATTCATTCCACTTGTGACAGGTGTTTACAAAGTAAAGAAGAAACAGTGAAAATGACTGAGGCCTTCAGAGCAGAGTGTACGGTTCCCCCACTTTCGGAGGACTGCTTGTATCTAAATATCTACACTCCCGGAGATCGAGACAAGGATTCCAAGTTACCAGTGAGTACTGATACATTATAGCAAGGTTGGAATTCTGCCTGATTTACTAATAGGCGGGAGCAGAGGAGAGAAGAACACCTTGTGAGTAGGTACATTTGACTTTTGTCCATCTCCACTATCTCCCACCATCTCGCTATGCCACAGCCAGACTGTTGGTGGCTGCAATGTTCACCAGTCTAACGATGTTTGTGCCACTGTTAGAATAGATCTCTCTTCCAACCACCATGTATCATTAGTGTTTGCACTGTGACTCCTATTACCTCCGTAAGACATTGTGTGATGAACACAACCAAGGCCCATGTTTTTGGGCCAGTTTAGGCCATTTATCCTGTATGCTATGTACTTCACCACTATATCTCTTATATATTATAAGGTTACATAAGACTGGTTTATGAAAAATGAAAATAGGGAACAGGCTGCGCCAAATATTAATGTTAACTAAACAAGTGTATGAACACAATATATCAATGTAAAATAGCTTAAGTAATAATAGCTTATATTTTGTAAAATTTATACATCGTCTCTCATCTCTAAACCAACACTATACACTACAGTCCCGACACGCGTTTCACCATTACGGCTCTTCCAGGGGACTTCCTGAGTTTAGAGCCGTAATGGTGAAACCGCGTCTGGACTGTAGTGAATTGTGTTGGTTTAGAGCCGTAATGATGAAACGCGCCTCGGGAATTGCTACTTTGTTTCATCTCTCCCTCCCTGGTTAATTAGTGAGTGGACAAGTGTTACTTTTGTTACTTTATTTTCCGTCTATATATTTCTTCTGCACATCGCAGCTTACAGTGCTATTATTTCCACTAAATTACTGAGTTATAGCAAACAGCTTTGGACTTATCTTATCTTTTTCAAATTTTGTATAATAATTTTTGTTTAATATTATTTTATTTAGATTGTTTGTCAATTTAAATATGATATTCTCCTATTCCTTGTAGGATTCTTTACCTACCAAAGACATTGACTGGATTCACTATATTGGTGTGCAAGTTTTTAAAAAATATTTGTGTGAGGGGCAAATAAGGCCGTATAGGAAGTTAAAGGGAAATAAGTCGGTTGAGGTGTGCCGGAACCGACGTCTTGGTAGGCCTGTAATGGGTGCCCTCTGCCCACCCATGAGGTGTAATGAAAGTATAGATAAAGGGAGTGGAGGGTGGGGACATGCGAGTCGCTAAAAAACGTAGGAAAGGTAAGTATGGGGGTTTAAATAGGTACCATGCCTCTTTTGTTTATAGTGTATTCCTCCTGGGGGATACCCCCTCCCACCCCCACTATTAGAGTAACTTGATAATCTCTCCCTAGATGATTTCTTTTGCTTAGTTATTCTAGTAGATAAACACAAAAAGAAAAAAATCTTGTGCTATATTGTCTTAAATAACATAAACAATAGCATCAACAATAGCAGAATGGCTAATGGAAAAGCACTCACAAACACAGACTGGTTAAAGTAAAACTCTTAAATATCGGACTCAGGGAGGATCAGCCCCTGGTGTGCGTAGGATCCTATCGATACACTTCCAGCCATCAGGTAAAGTATATAATAAGTATTTATTTAAAACAAACAGGTTAAAAAAACTTATTCCAGCATCAGTGTCCCATAACAGCTCACCAGCCCCTTCTACAATTGAGAGTGTGTCCGGCACGAGCCCAAACAGGAAGTAGACAGTGATCACTGATCGGAACGAGCAACCAAGCCTAAGAGAAGAATGGGAATGGGCAGTTGTTGTACATACCGGACACGCTCTCAATTGCAGAAGGGGCTGGTGAGCTGGTATGGGACACTGATGCTGATGCTACAATACATTTTAAAAAAAATCTTTTTGATTTAAATAAATACGTATATACTTTACATTCACTACGACTGATACCTTTTTGAATCTTATTACCAGGATTATTTTGTCGGTTGCTGCAATTTGTACTCTTTGGTTTATTTTGCGCCATCTTATTTATATATATATATATATAAATATATATATATATATACACATACATGTTTAGATGTTTTACAATCTGTTCCCTGACTAATCTAGGTTATGGTATTCATTCACGGAGGAGGGTTAGTGATTGGAGCAGCGACGATGTACGATGGGTCTGCGCTGAGTGCGTATGAAAATGTTGTGTTGGTGTCGATCCAGTACAGACTGGGTTTACTGGGATTCTTCAGGTACTGTACTGAACTGGGCATGTAATATACTATGATCCCTATCCCAAACCTGCACTTGTTTTCCTCTGAACCACCATCAGCAAAATGACCGTATTCCACTGGAGAAGAATTTAAAAATGTATAGAATGTCCAAAAACTAAAACAAAACACACAGGCAGACATTATTTCTAATCATTCTTCTGGAGCTGAGAACTAAACTCCCCTTTCTAATTCTTGTATACCCAGTACCGAGGACTTGAAAATACCTCCAAATCTTGGATTTTTGGATCAAATTGCTGCTCTTCAATGGATTCGCGAAAATATTAAGGATTTCGGAGGGGACCCTCGATCTGTTGCTATATTTGGGGAATCTGCAGGAGGACTGAGTGTTTCTGCTCATGTAAGTTTCACCTAATCCATTCTTTGACTAGTCTATTAATTATCACCCAGGACATATTTGAAAACAATGGGGGTATATGATTATTCATTTCTTCCTTCCTGGTAATATGTTTTCAAAGCAAGTCACCCTCTTTCGCATAATTTCAGCCCACCGGTATGTCCCCTCGAGTGATATAATGTGTATATGTAATGCATGTTTATTTTAAAGTTAATAAATGCGTTTGCATTTGTGTTTTTTAAAATCACCTTCTGTGCCCCCTCCTGTTTTTTCTAATTATTTCTTTTTTGCCTATTTGCATACATTTTAGGTGTTATCGCCCTTATCTAAGGGATTGTTCCACAGAGCCATTGCCGAGAGTGGAACAGCAATAATGCCTGGACTTATAGCCACCCAACCTAAACGGATGGCTGCAGTAAATCGCGTAAGCATCACGTAAAGTGTATGTACATACTGGAGGCTACAGTCTATTGCTATACGAATCAAAAATTACATTACTAAACTAGGCTGTTATTAGGGGTATATTGGATCTGTAAATACTTTTAAAAAATAATAATTCTCTGCATATTAAGCAGTTGGATTTGATTGTATTTTTTTTAACCAAAATTGGTGCATTTTTTTTGGCAGCTCATTGCCAATATATCTGGCTGTGATTTGGCAGAGGTGGCGGACTGCTTGAAGTTGAAAACGGAAGAAGAACTTCTTTCAATCATTTCAGAGATGGTATGGAATTTGTTGGGGAAACTTTTTACCTGTGGTCAGCGTGTAGCCACAACTGCTTATGTATAAATTGGGATTAGGTGTGATATTTCCGGTGACCTCCAGGGACCTGGAATGAGGTCAAGGTCAGGTAAAGCAGAATTGTGCAATGTCAGAGCTGGTCCAGTTTGCTACATTCGATATAATGAAGGAGCTGTTAGTAGGAGGGTTGAGCACAAAATATTGTAACTGGTTAGACCAGGCTTCCCCAAACTCCACCCCTCCAGATGTTGCTGAACTACAACTCCCATGATTCTCAGCCTATCTATTCCATTCATAGAATTGTGGGAGTTGTAGTTCGGCAACATCCAGAGTTTGGAGAAGGCTGGGTTAGACCAAGGAAAGAATCAGGAAAAAAGGACAGACTTGGTGCCAATCTCAATGAAGGGCTTTAAAAAGCAGTCACTAGACAAACAACAGCTGGTTATATAAGAGTAGATAACAAGGGCAGAAAACAGAGAAAGCCAGAACAGGTTACAGTGTCAGCCCCTAGTAATGTATATCCGACAAACACTGTAAGAAATAATTTTGTCTCTGCACAGAAGTTTATACCTTTACCTGGGTGTGTTGATGGCGAGTTCTTTCCCAAACCCGCAGAAGAGATCTTGGCCAATAAAGAGATGAATGATGTTCCGTTAATGATTGGTGTCAATGACCATGAGTGCGGTTGGCTCCTTCCATCGGTAAGATCTTTTCCCAGAGTCCTTCTACTAAACTATTTTATCATTTCATCCACATTCCCCTCATATGTTTAGAGTTCATTAAGAAACCATAGCTTCCAGAACACATAGGTTTTATAACAATAACATTAGCATTAAATTATATTATTAAGAAGACAATACATGTTTTATTCTTGAATATCATTTGGCAGAAATGTTCCACTGAGACATTTAGATGTGTTTAATTAAAATTATTATTATTTTACCAGTCCTTGAACATGAGTGGACTAACAGAAGGAATGGATAAGGAAATGGTCCGATCTACCCTGAATTCTTTCCATTTCTTGGTAAGACCCATGTACAGTTTATATCTGAATATCATGTGCCAGAAGGATGAATTTTCACAAAAACCATAGTAGCAGGCGTTTAGATGGTATATAATAACAGTGGGAAGGCAGAGAGCAATATAGTATAAATATGGAACCTGTCAGACTGTGTGCGTGTATTATTATCAAACTCACATATTTTAGAGCCATTCTGTGCCCAGAATAGCACACCTCACCTCAATCTCTATTTCAGGGATGTATTCTCTCTGTTTCTATAAGGATAGGTAACCCAACACGCAGAATAAGGACACACAAGTACAGGAAAAATAGTAGATTGTAGTATGTATTACTGGACCTTAGAGTGGCATGGCTTAACATGGAAAGAACATGAGATAGAGGTGTCAAATAACAGACCAGGTTCAAGAGCAGTGGAGATATATTAAGTCAGTAATTAAGCAAAGGTCAGGGTCACAGGGAACAGAGTAGGAGAGACAAGCCAAGATCAATAACCAGGAATCAGAGTATAGAAAAAAAACGTGTTCTCAGATAACCAAACTGGAAACCACAATGGGGCATTTAGCAGATGTAAAGCTCATGTATTCATAGGCCTGGGGGCGTTTCCTTGGTAGCCATGCCCCAAAATGTGAGTAGGCATCTATAATGTAGTGATTATGTCACAATGTGGGTGTGGCTTAATGGGCAACAAAAGGGGTGGGGCTACAGCATCTGGCGCCAGAAACGCTAACAAAGGTGTCTTAGGGTGTGAAACTGAATTGGTGTCCACTTGGGGTTTGCAGGGGCACCAGGTAAGGGATGTAGCACAAAGATATGTATCCTAACAGTTTGTGAAATTAAACAAAGATCTATCTCTCTATCTATTTATCATTTCATATATTGTAGAAAGAAAAATGAAAAACCTCAGAAAAAGAGAGTGCTCCACAGGAGAAGTGTCAGCATTTTTAGTAGAATTTCTACTAACCTGCTTATTTTATTTTTTAGGGGATCTCATCTGATGAAACTCGTTTGTTGATGGAAGAGAAATTTGGAACAGATGACCGTTTTGAACTCCGAAACCAGTTATGGCATCTGTGCGGTGATTTGATGTTTGCTATACCTGCTCTTAAAACTGCAAAGTATCACCGGGGTAAGTGACATAAACAGAGATTTACGTGTGCACATAGAACAAGTAACAAGGGGTTCATGTTCTACTGCTGAGAAAGACATGTTTTACTAAGCTCATACATCGTAGACATAATTTGACAATACTTGTCTATTTTTCTTTGTGCTTCTCATTTGTATGTCTGTCCTAAAAGACATAGGCACATGCAAGGATTGTGCCAGTTAATCCAGGTACACATAAAATGCATGGTTCAATTGTCCACACTGCCCAGATATAAATCCTTGCCTGGAGCTATTTCTCAATTCCATATAGCTCATTGTTCAGCTCTTAATTAAACATTGTTTGTTTAAGTTTTATCCTATTTGTAGAATCAAATTGACTTTCCAATCTTGTAGATTCCGGGAATCCTGTTTACTTCTATGAATTTCAGCATCGCCCTTCCAACTTCAAGGATACAAAGCCAGATTTTGTCAGGGCAGATCATGGAGATGAAATTCTGTCTGTTTTTGGAGCCCCGTTCTTAAACGGAGATGTCGTTTTCAAAGGTAAGTCACCCAATAGTAAATAATGGGAATTTCTTCTATTGACTAGATTTTATACTTCTCTTTATGTGTTTTTCAGTTTGAATAATGAAAATATATCACTTTGCTTCCAAGACATAGCTACAGATGAAGAAATTGCCCTCAGTAAAACCGTGATGAAATACTGGGCCAACTTTGCTCGAACTGGGTGAGATATCAGTATCTTTTGCTTTGATTGTGACCTGATATACACACCTAATATATCATCAACGGGTACTTGGCACTGCTGGAAATAGTGGACTTAGGGTAGTGATGGCGCAGCTGGCGTTAGGAACTGTTTGAGGTGGCCCAAGCCCATGAGCATGTGGTCAAATTTGCCTTCTTCCTTCTACTATTAGAAGTGAACCGATTTTATTGTTCGTTGGGGCTACTGATTTTATAACTTAATTAGGTGTGGGCATCTCTTGGTAAAGCTTCTCAGACAGTAATGAAGATAATAATAAATAATAATAATTATAATAATAATTAATGGACATTTACTAATTATTGATAACTTGATCTCTTCATCCACAGTGATCCCAATGGACCTGGTTTGGTCAAATGGCCACAATACGGTGAAGATGAAAATTACCTGGAAATTAACGTGAAACAGAAAGCGAGTAACCATCTGAAGCAAGAAGCTCTTGATTTCTGGACCAAGACTGTACCAGAACGAATGAGAAATCTGTCAGAGGAAAATGAAGACCACGAGGAGTTGTAAATTACATTGTCAAAAACAGCATTTCATCTACATAAAAAAACCAAAAACAAATGACTGTAAATAAAAATGGGAAAATCAATAAAAAAAATGAACACAAACAATCTATACTGTTAGAGACTTCTCAGAGACATCCAGGTACTTGCGCCAAAACATTGTAAGTTTTTGGCTGTGGCTTATTCACTAAATGACAAATTAAATTTACTAAATAAGTTCTGACCCAAACTTTAATACAAGGAAAAAAACGAGTTAGGCAGATGTCGTTGACGTGGTACTGTGCCACCAGTACAGAGGTGACCAAGCTCCAAATTCATTAACAAAAAAAAAAAGAAGGAGACTGGGGATGGGTATAAAATCCAGGCTAATTTATTGGATAAAGAGCAGAAATGTTTATTTAAGCTTGATAAAGGCTCTGTTAGTGAATCGAATGTTGCTAATCGTTATCCATTAAATCTGCCTAAATTTTATATACTTTTATAACTATTTTATAAAAGTCTCCTTTTCTGTCTGACCCAACTTTTATGCCTTTTAGGCTGACACAGCTGAAATGTAATAATAAACACTTCATTTATAATTATGTGTTTAACCCCTTAAGGACACATGACATGTGTGACATGTCATGATTCCCTTTTATTCCAGAAGTTTGGTCCTTAAGGGGTTAAATATGGATAGTAGAGATATTGGGGTACACATTCTATACCCTTGTATACATGTTTACTGCACCATATTGATAAGGTGCAAACAGAATAATGGAATATTGCACTGTGGCTTTTATTCTGTAATTCATTTTTCTGTCTGTTAAATCGTCAGGTTTTTTTTACTGTTTTGTCACTGGTACTTGTTCATGTTGACTTGAAAAATAAATCTGTACATTGCTCTTTCAGGCACCAATAAAAAAAGCCTGAGTTCTGGTTCTAATTTATTTGTAAGTACCTTTGTATTGAATGGGTTTAATAGCAGCATGTCTTATTTACTCTTCCTAAATTCAGTTCCCTTGACTTGAACGGGGGGAACGCTCTGTCAGGTGTAAGTATAGGTGATAAATCCTGAGCAACCATCAACAATTGTAATCACCCCATAAAATGTATCACAAGTTTGCCTACCCTTGGAGAATTGATAATGTATGTACCATTTGTAAAGAAAACACGGGTGAGCCGGCAAAACACATTTCTTTTATTTCTTATGGGATTCATCAGCCAGCCATACACACACAGCCATACAGACAGCCATTGACACAGACAGCCATACAAACAGCCATGCACACAGACAGCCATACAGACAGCCATGGACACAGATTCACAGACAGCCATTCAGCCAGACATACACACACAGACAGCCATACACACTCACAGACAGCCATACACACACAGCCATACAGACAGCCATGGACACAGACAGCCATACAAACAGCCATACACACAGACAGCTATTCAGCCAGACATACATACACACATACACACACACACAGACAGCCATACACACACAGCAATAACACACATTCTCCCCCCACCCCCCAACACTCATTTTTTTTTTTAAATTTAAATCCACCAAGCCTCCCTACCTTTAGGAGAGCTGGGTGGATTTCTTAACTGGGGTCTTGTGGGGCTGCTGGGGGGCGGACAGAAGGTGGGGGAGTGCTGAGTGTGAGCTCTCCCTGCTCAGCATCCTTGTGTGCCACAGAGTGATGCCAGGAGCCGGAGTGATGTCATTTTCCGGCTCCTGTCATCACTGCGGGGAGCTGAGTAGGAAGAACTTACACTCAGAGCTCCCTCACCGCGGCCCATGGGCCTCAAACATATTAGTTGTGGGCCGCGAGTTTGACATGCATGTTTTAGTTCTTAATACTGTGTACAGCCCCCTTTAGCATCAATGACAGCATTTGTGTCTTTTGTAATAGTTGTCTATGAGGCACCTAATTCTTGCAGGTGGTAAAGCTGCCCATTCGTCTTGGCAAAATGCCTCCAGGACATGCAAAGGCTTTGGTTCTCTTGCCTGAATCGCACGTTTGAGCATTCCCCAGAGTGGCTCAATGATATTAAGGTCAGTTGACTGTGATGGCCACTCCTGAATCGTCACCTTTTTCTGCTGTAACCACTGGAGGGTCAACTTGACCTTGTGCTTAGGGCCATTGTCATGTTGGAAAGTCCAAGAGCGTCCCATGTGCAGCCTTTGTGCAGAAGAATGCAAACTGACTGCCAGTATTTTCTGATAATATGTTGTATTCATCTTGCCATCAATTTTCACAAGATTCCCTGTGCGTTTAAAGCTCACACACCCACAAAACACCAGTGAGCCCCCACCATGCATTGACAGTGGGAATGGTATTCTTTTCACTATAGGCCTTGTTGACCTCTCTCAAAACATAGCGCTTATGGTTGTGACCACAAAGCTCTATTTGGTCTCTTCACTCCAATTTACAGTGTGCCAGAAGCTGTGAGGTGTGTCAACGTGTTATTGGGCATATTGTAACCGGGCTTTTCTGTGGCAATGGCGCAGTAAAGGCTTCTTTCTGGCAACTCGACCATGCAGCTTAAGTATCGTCATATTGTGCTTCTTGAGACAACCACACCGACTTTTTGCAGAGCATCCTGTATTTCTCCAGAGCTTACCCGTGAGTTTTTCTTTGTATCCTGAACAATTCTTCTGGCAGTTGTGGAAGAAATCTTTCTTGGTCTACCTGACATTGGCTTGGTATCAAGAGATCCCTGAATTTTCCACTTCTTAATAAGTGATTGAACAGTACATACTGGCATTTTGAAGGCTTTGGATATCTTTTTATATCCTTTTCTGTCTTTATAAAGTTCCATTACCTTGTTACGCAGGTCTTTTGACAGTTCTTTTCTGCTCTCCGAGGCTCAGTATCTAGCCTGCTCAGTGCACCCACGTGAGAGTTAACAAACTCATTGAGTATTTATACACAGACACTAATCACAATTTAAAAAGCCACAGGTGTGGGAAATTAACCTTTAATTATAGGAGAAAACAAGGGTTTGGCTGCACTCACCTAAACATATTTAAATAGGGTGCTGCTGGGGGCCAATAAGTACAGTAAAAATGAAAATCCAGCGCACTCCCTTATCTACTAAACTGCTATTTTGGTGCTGAACATTTTTTTTAGTTTTATTAAAAACACCTAATCGAGGCAAAAAGTTACAGTATTTGCATTAGTTACATACATCGCATAAGCCTGCCACAACGCCAATGTACCCCATCTTTGGCAGGTCCTACTCTGTCTGCTAAATGAGCTACTCACTTGGGGAAATCCATCTCGAGTTCTCTGCAGTACAAGGCTTAAATAGGGTCCTGAGATGAGGCACCTGTAACAGGGAGGGGTGCAAAACCAAGGAGCTGACTAGACTCCTAAATAAATACATATAGGAGAAAACAAGGGTTTGGCTGCACTCACCTAAACATACTTAAATGTGCTACTATTGAAACAGTAGTAAAGGGTCAGTGCTGATAAAACAAACTAAGAAAAGTGAAATCAAGGCAGCTTTTCTCCAAAATGAAGGGAATCCCTCTATCCAGGGCCGGATTAAGAGCACAGTAGGCCTGGTGCTGACAATTATGATGGGCCTAATTACGGAATCTTATTGACCAAAAACACTAAAACAATCATACCTCCCAAGCGTCATGTATCTGATGCTGGAGGGAAACTCAAAGGATGCAGCTATAAGAAAACACATACTCTATGCTAATCCCTCTCTAATTTATGATTTCATCTTTCAAGTAAATCCATAACCCCTAACAGCAGTGTCCAGTGAAGCAGGAAGTCAATGGGCGGGGTAAAAGGGTGTGCCACTGGCGCGAATCACGTGACAAGACCTGCCAAAAGGGGTGAACATGCCCAAAAAGGGGAACGTTTGTCCAAAGAATTGGAAGGTCAGCCTGGCATGAATGCATGTCAGGCTGCCTGCCAATCTTGCAGGCTGTTCAACTAAGGGCATACTATGCAGGCAGCACCTTGAGCTTGACATAAATGCGTCTAATGATGCGCTCATTCCATTCTTTCAAAGGACTGTCCCATAGCACTCGCTGGTCCACTTGTCTCCTTACCTTCTTACTAGCAGGCAGAAGGTCCTGGTATATAGTCTGAGACAGAGAAAAGATGTCTGTAGTGAGTGTAGAAGAAAGGGGACATGCCACAGTGTTAGAGAGACCAACATCTGCATTACCTAAAATAACTTTAATGTCAGCAAGTGCACACAAGTTTTGTTCCAATACATCCCTCTTAAGCTTCCAAACTTAAAGGGACACTATAGTCACCAGAACAACTACAGCTTATTGTATTTGTTCTGGTAAGTAGAATCATTCCATTCAGGCTTTTTGCAGTAAACACTGTCTTTTCAGAGAAAATAACTCCACTGGCTGCTCCTTAGATGGCTGCTAGAGGTGCTCCCTGGGGCAGTACTGCCTAGTGTGCAGCACTGCCATTCAGTGTCTCCACCCTCTTCATGTAGACACTGAACTTCCCTCATAGAGGAGAGGAGATGCTGATTGGCCAGGGCTATGTTGGACTTGTGCTGGCTCTGCCCCTGATCTGCCTAGTTGACAGTCTCAGCCAGTCCTATGGGGAAGTATTGTAATTTGCTCAGACCACCACTTCTGAGCCAGCAGCTGCAGAATTTAATACAAGTAATATTTTACTATATTTAGGGAGGCAAGAAGGGGCCAGGGTGGTGGTTTTAACATAATAGGGTCAGAAATACATGATTGTGTTCCTGACCCTATAGTGCTTCTTTAAGCAAGAGTATGTGAAGAGTAGTTAAGGTTGCCACCTTTCTTGGAAAAAAATACCAGCCTTAATAATTTGTATAATTAGTTATGCGTGACATCACATGATGTAAATTACAAGGAGTGACATCAGAGAAAATTCTATAAAATCATCAAACTACTCACAGTTTGATTCTGCTGTATAGATGGATTGCTCCCAGTGTCTCCCTGTCTCCCAGTGTCTCAGTCTCGCAAGTCACCCAGTGTCTCAGTGTCCCTATGTATCACAGTGTCAGTGTCCCTGTGTCGCCCAGTCCCCTAGTCTCCCAGTGTCTGTGTCCCCATTTCTCCCAGTGTCCCAATGTCTCAGTGTGTCCCCATGTCACTAGGATACTGGGGACACTGAGAGACCCAGGGACACTAAGACCCGGGGACACTGAGACATTTAGGGAAACTGGGAGAAATGGGGACACTGAGACACTAGGGACACAGACACTGGGAGACATGGGGACACTGAAACATTTGGGGACACTAAGACACTAGGGACACAGACATGGGAACACAGACACTGGGAGACTAGGGGACACTGGGAGACACTGGCTGGGAGACAGACACTTGGGGACACTGGGAGACATGGGGACAGTTGTGGACATAGACATGTGGACACTGGGACATATAGGGACACTGGGAGACATGGGGACACCAGGCACACTGAGACACTAGGAACACACTGGGAGACATGGAGACACTGAAACATGGGGACACTAAGACACTAAGGACACAGACACTGGGAGACTAGGGGACACTGGGAGACTAGGGGATACTGGGAGACAGACACTTGGGGAGACATGGGGACAGTTGTGGACATGGACATGGGGACACTGGGACACATGGGGACACTAGGCACACTGAGAGACATGGGACACAGACACTGGGAGACTTGGGGACACTGATACACTAGGGACACTGGCTGGGGGACATAGTGTCTCCATGTCCCAATGTCTCCCAATGTCCCTATGTCTCACAGCGTCCCCATGTGTCTCAGCGTCCCCATGTGTCTCAGAGTCCCCTAGCGTCTCAGCGTCCCCTAGTGTCTCAGTGTCCCCTAGTGTCTGTGTCCCCAGGTCTCCCAGTGTCTGTGTCCCCATGTGTCCTAGTGTCTCAGTGTCCCCTAGTGACAGTGTCCCCATATGTCCCCAAGTGTCTCAGTGTCCCCAAGTGTCTCAGTGTTCCCAGGGTCTGTGTCCTAGTGTCTCAGTGTCCCCTAGTGTATGTGTCATCATGTGTCCCCTAGTGTCTGTGTCCCCTAGTGTCTAAGGGTCCCCATTTTTTTAAATGGGCCTATTCCATGGGCCTGGGCCTGGGCCTGGAGCTGCAGCTCCATCAGCCCCTATGTTAATCCGGCCCTGCCTCTATCCCTATAGTAGTGAGGCAAGTAAAAATTATAAAAAAGTGTAGTGGGTTAGCATAAGGGTGGTCATATAGATGCAGTAGTTTATGCAGATTATAAGTCAGGTCACTGTGTGCAGGACAGCAGTGACAGGGAATTTCTTTGAACTTATGATAGGAGCATAAGTTGTTATGGTGCTTTGAGTGTGCCTTTGATGATATGACTTTAATTGATACAATCGCTGACAGCATGCTTTCTCAGCTTCCAGAAAAGAGGGGGCCAAGGGCACACAAATGGGACTAAGGATTTGGATCGCCAAAAGGTAGTGTGTTTCCTAAAGTGAAACGTAGGAGGTACGCACAGTGGTGTACATACAGTGATCGCAGTGGTCGCAGCTGCGACTGGGCCCGTCCCTCCAGGGACCCTGGCCCCCCTGCGGACTCTGCCACTGGATGCCTGCTGCCATGTGTTGTGGCCCCGGCCCGTGCGGCAAACCACCGGGGCTACTCATTCAGTGGTCTATCGGGTGGACTATGCTGTTAGGGCCACACGATAGAGATGAATTTCCAGGGGGCCCCGGTCAGCGCTGCAGCGCTGTAACCGCGCGACCAGGCCCCCTGTGATGACATCTCAGCTGGGAAGAAGTGACTGGCTCCCCGCTATCAGTGAGAGCCCACGTGGGAGGAAGGAGAGGGAGTCAGAGTGTGAACTCTAACTCCCACCAGCCTGAGCCTCCACTGGACCCCAGGGAAAGTCACCCTCCTGTATGTATGTGTTTGTGTTGTCGGTCTGTGTGTGTATGTGTCTGTCTGCGTGTGCCTGTCTGTGTCTCTGTATGTATGTGTCTGTCTGTGTGTGTGTATGTCTGTGTGTGTCAATGTGTGTGTGTGTGTGTCTGTCTCTGTCTGTATGTATGTATGTATGTATGTGTGTGTCTCTGTATGTATGTGTCTATCTGTATGTATGTGTCTGTGTTTCTGTCTGTCTTTATGTGTGTATCTGTCTCTATGTATGTATGTGTCTGTCTGTATGTGTGTGTTTGTCTGTATGTGTCTCTGTATGTATATGTGTCTGTGAATGTATCTGTCTGTATGTATCTGTCTGTATGTATGTGTCTGTGTGTGTGTATGTATGTATGTGTGTCTGTATGTGTGTGTCTGTCGGGAGGAGGGCATGGATCAGTTTCGCACCGGGGCCCCATGGATTGTGTGTATGCCACTGGGTACGCAGAATGCTAATTTCACAGACACTCAATTGATTCAAAGTAAATATTAACTTGTACGCCACTGGTTATGCAGAACACATGGATTACAAACAAGTTGCAGCCTTATGTACTGGGATTGTACTTTGGCCAAATATATCAGGATCAGTGCTGTTTGTTTGGTTAGCCAGTGGTTTATGAAATCTGCTCAGCAAATACTTAAAAAATATTTTGCTCCACAAACTGATTGAGTTAATGCAGAGCCATCTATTCTCTGCTTCGTTCCTTGTCTGAGCAGAGCAGAGATCTCAGGGGGTTCTTGTGAAGTTGCTGAAAAACTGATATAAATGGGATCCCTGATCCGAACCCTGGCATTGTGCTTTTTAACCCTCCAAGCCTTCGCAGCAGGTGAGAGGGATCATTTACCTGCAGAATGTAACAGAACAGAAAAGTGCTGTATGGGACATACCTACTGCAAGGGTTAACTTACGTACAGAACCCAGTAAGATGTCTATTTACTAAACAGTGAGTTGCAATGACAACTAAACAGTGAATTCTTGAGGGAGGAATATGTGAATTCAAATTTACATTTTACTTGTGTGATAAAAAAATTCACAATATATTTACAATGTATAAAAATGGGCATTTGCAGCTGAAATATTCCCACATTGTGCCATTCCTGAGCTGCTGTGCGTCGCTCCGACTATAAACTAAAATATTCATGAATGAGGAAAAGACAAACAACGTAAAATGTGGATTGTCTCTAAACACAAAGTAAACAAACATGCAGCTTGTAATCCATCATAATATTATTTCAAATGATTGCAGGTCAAAGTGGTCAATCATTATTTTTTTTTAAATCGGAGTTTGAAACTGGTGTTGTCTAAGTATGAAGAGATAAGCCCTTTTCTATTTTCTGTATCTAAATGTCCCTATGCGGCTTTTAAAATATTTTTCTTTTAGGGCAAGAAGATGTTCAACCCATGGTGATCACAAAGTATGGGAGTCTACGTGGGAAATCGGCGACGGTAAAAGGGACCGAGCGACAAGTCCATGTGTTTCTTGGGATCCCCTTCTCAAAGGCTCCGGTTGGGGAATTAAGATTTGCTCGTCCGCAGCCACCAGAACCTTGGAACTTCATCAGAGATGCAACTAAAGACGCCCCCATGTAAGGATTTAACCTGAAGGATTGCACACACGGCTTAAAAAGATCCTCTGATTCTCAAAGTCCATGAATGATTTGCAAATATTTTAAACTACGTGATCAAAGGCTGTGGGGTTGGTCCAGAGTTGACCGTCACTGGGCCAGTGTGTGTTTGGAAGAATCACTGGGTGTATGTGACCTTGTGATGTATTCATTTGAGCTGGTGAAAGGGGTGTGCAAGGGTTCTTAATCCTCCCTTGTGATGGCATATGCCCAAATTAGCAGCAGGCACAGAATGAAAGAGAACGTAAAGATTGGCATTTAATGCCACATGTCAACTCTCATGAAAAATTCTATTGTTTTTCCTTTGACAACTCGGGACCTCCCAACCATTGCTATTGGAACTATCCCATGATCCTCCTGACAATGTAGCAAATGGAAAGGTGCAATCTCATTTTACATATGGAATAATCATGTTACAACATGGCACAGACGTTGCTATTTCACACATTATGACAACGTTTAGAGAGTTCGTTCGTGAAAACAGAAGATGCAGTACTGAAATTACTTTCGGCCTATCCAACACAATGTAGTTATTTAAAGTATTAACTTGTAATTAATCTACAACTATAAAACCAACATTGATTGACTAAAGGTCGGATTTTCAGAAATGAATTTTAAACTTGAGACTAATCTAGCGGAATTTGAAAATAATGTCAAGTCAGCTTTATCTTCTGTTTCTCTTTAATGGCCCAAAATGTAAAATTAACTGTGGATTAACTTTGTATTTCCGACAGTGCACACCTTTAATGGAAAACCCCAGCACATACACAGACACATATCAGTTATGGGAATATTCACTAAAATGTTAATTGTCAGGAATTCAAAGTCAGTTTCAAATTTTGGGCCAAAATAGTTAAACCTGGAAAAAATCTTTATTAACTTATATTTTCAGTTTGTCTATTTTAGTCTAACATTTTTATTTCAGATTGCAATTTCACTTTAAATTCCTGACAATTCAAAATTCAGTGAAAAACCTTTCTATTGTTGAAATCGTTCTCCCATTATTATTTACTTATTTTGTACGAGAAAAACAATCTTTCAAAACTGCTGTGCCCGGAGTGGTAATTTTCTTCACGTTTGTCTTTGCATATGTAGTTGATGTAGAGAGATATTTTTGAGATCATACCCTATTAGTATAAAATTATTGTTTTATAACAGCTATTCATCTTTGTGGAAATTTATTTATACTGATATTCTTTGTTGTTTTCACTGTAGATGCTTGCAGAACAAATTAGCAGTGAAAAAAATGGCTGAAGCGTTCAGAGCAGAGTTTAAGGTTCCCCCAATTTCTGAGGACTGCTTGTATCTAAATATCTACACTCCCGGAGATCGAGACAAGGATTCCAAGTTACCAGTGAGTACCGATACATTATACCAAGGCTGGACGTCTTCCTCAATCACCTGTAGACATAACTGCATAACTGCATAACGACGAGGTTAATCTTCCTGTCCGCCCGCACCTCCCATGCCTCACCCTTCTGTCAGTCCCTACATTGGCTTCCTATAAAATATAGAGCTCAATTTAAAATTCTGGTTCTTGCTTCCAAATCTCTACATAATGCTGCTCCCACCTATCTATTCTCCCTTATACACAAGTATGTCCAGTCTACGCCCTTATGATCTGCTGAAGACTTACGTCTATCTTCTGTCCGTACTCCCACCTCTGATGCTTGCCTTCAAAATTTCTCGAGGGCTGCACCGTTCCTGTGGAACTCGCTTCTCTCCTCCGTTAGATGCTCACCCAGTCTCCACTCCTTCAAAAAAATCGTTAAAAACCCACTTCTGCATAAAAGCGTATCAAATAAACTGTTAATAGCTCCTGGCTGATTCCTCTTCTACAACTGTCACTAGTCTACTCCCTCTAGCATGTAAGCTCATTGAGCAGGGCCCTCAACCCCTCTGTTCCTGTGTGTCCAACTTGTCTGGTTACAACTATATATCTGTTCGTCCACCCATTGTAAAGCGCTGTGGAATTTGACGGCGCTCTATAAATATCATAATAATAATAATAATAATAATAACTGCATAGAACCTTATGTGGACATTTATCCAAGCAACATACAGTACAAAAGTGAAAAAGGGCTGCGCCAGATATATAAAAAAACAATAAAAAAGACAATAACTTATATCAATAGGTAATCAACAGCAGAGGAGGAGTAAAGGCTGTACACATGTACAGTAAAAAGAGATATAACACTCTCCAAAGTCTAGAAAAAATAGTTTAATAAAAAATAGTCCAAAGTAAGAGGATCTCACTTAGGTAAATGTTTTAATGGGAGCTTGTTGGGATGTTATGTCCTCAATGACTTGAAGTCCAAACAATCCACTTATATGAAAGATAAAAAGACAGGGACAACCAATAGTGCGATATGTACAATCTGAAGGCGTCACTAAAGAAGATACTTTCCGCCACTCCCCTTTCCTCCTGCTTGCTGGAACTGGAGGACAGGCGGCTTGTCCCAAGTTTTTACTTGGCATTTTACAACCTTGGACTCCAGGCAATCCTAGGTGGGGATCATACCACCAACGCTGACATCAAAGAGCGGTTAGTCTACTCTATACTTGTGAGTACGATTTTATTTATCTATTACAGATAACTTCTATACTGTGGGCACTATCAGTTGTTTTATTTATCCTTTTCCTGAGTGTCGTACATATCTCCCCCGGAGGATACATGCTGCATATCCCATAAGCGGGGATTATAGCGCTGTACGCCCTTCATGCTAGAGCTGGTTAAAGCTCTTTGAAATGTGAGCTTATGGAGTATTTTCTTTAGTGACTCCTTCAGATTGTACATATCGCACTATTGGTTGTTCCTGTCTTTTTAAAAAAAATTTTTTATATATCTGGTGCAGCCCTTTTTTTTCTCTTTTGTACTGTATGTTCCTTATCTAAAGGGTTAGAGGGTTCCCCTTTTTTTGGGCTGCTGACGGTCTTATCTATCTATTATTAGTGCTGACCCTTTTTGCACCTTTTTATTTATCCAAGCAACAGTACTATCTTCACCCCTATGACGCCACCCTTAAATACCCTATTGGTAATGGCAATTCTTGGTGGTGAAACTGTGCGGGAGGAAAAAGGTTTTACCACTGATAAGTTTCTCCCCACTGCTCTGTGACCATGCTCCTACTGTGAATGATACCATGGTGATATCAATACATGCTTTGTTAGTTTAACACAATGTTTTCCATCCAGTCTTCAAGGTATGCCAGGGTGCAGTTTTTGTCAGTATCCCATCTGAATTAGGAGATGCTTAAAGGGTTACTCCAATTACCATGACCACTTCTGTCTTTAATGGTGGTAGGAATCAGTATGTGCAGCACTTCACCTTGAAACATTGCACATACTGAAATAGAACTCTGTTTCGTACTACCTAATGTCAATTCTGTGCAAACATTATGTCTATTGTCTGCGCACATAGCACCATGATGACGGACATGGTCAACTTCTCCCTTGGAGGCAGCGCGCTTACATGGGAAGGATTGATTTCCTCTTCTGACCTCCATGCAGTCCCTCATATCCCAGCCCTCCACCCTCTGTTTTGCAATCTTTTTTTCTACATTTTGTTTTACGTAATCCCCTCACTGGCTCTGAGGTTGCGCATGCACTCAGAGCAGGTAAGAAAGATTCAGTCTTTGAAAAGCATATGGTTGAATTTCACGGGGAACCCGTGATGTTGGATGAGGCAGTGAAAAGAGTGTTGGGAGGTTCTCCTTAGTCAAATTGTATAATAATAATATATATATAAAGATATATATATATATATATGAGACCAGGAAGCCTACACAGGCAATGAATACTTAATCATACATACACACACAGCTAAGAGTGCCATATTTTGGGTTAATTACTTTGTATGGATCCGTAAGAATACCTTCTTCAACATTTTGCAGCAAGTTGACTCATAGCATAGGACTCTCCTAGAGGGTTTTTCTATAAGGTTAACAGGAGAGCCTACACTTAGATTTCAATGAAACTGTAGCCTACCCTAATAAGCTCACTAGAACAAGCATTCTTTAATGATTCATAGTTTATCATACCCCTGTAAAGAGGGGTATAAAAATGGGGTAAGCCAGTAACTTTAATCACTGGTGCCACCCATATTGTGTAGGAAGGGTTGGGTCCACCTGAAGAATAGGCAGGTCAGCCTGGCGTTAATGCATGTCAGACTGCCTGTCAACCACTAAGGCTTGGCCTTGCAGAGAATGCTGTTTAAGCATTCTGTGTAAGGTCCTAATGCCCTGAGGATAGCATGAGGGTATCTAATGATGCGCTTGCTTTCTGTCCCAATTCCCTTGTGTAACTTAAAGTGGGTCAGCAGAGAACAAGTCAAGATAGGACCCTAAAATAGGTACTACCACACTAAAATTAGGACTTTATACATTCATAGTAAAATACTATTGGAACTGTATGGGCATTGAAATTACGTTGTTATGGTGCCCAGAAGTCCCCAGTGCATTCTTACCTGAAGAGGCTAAACTGTTCTCAAGCAGTGAATTGAAAGTGTAAGCGCTTCGTAGATCGGTCCCATAGTAAATTCTATGAGAATTAGAATTTACTATGAGAATTTACTATGGGGCCGATCTACTAAGTGCTTACACTTTCAATTCACTATTTGTTCTAAGATTTTAGGAATAATCTTTTATGTGTTTAGCAGCTAATGATTTATTATAGTTTTACCATTATTCTTTATATTTTTAGTATTATTTGCGCTTTTTTGTTTAACAATTTTTGTTCTCAAGCAGTGCCAGATCTCCCAGTCCCCGGTGAATCTGGTTTTCTCCAATGCAGTGGCAAGAAAGCATCAGGGACCTCTGGGCATTATAATAACTTAATTTCAATGAAGTTGAAGTGCCCACACAATTCATTTAATGATATTCATGTCATAACTGCTGTAACACAAAACAAAAACTCTTTAAATATAGAGCTGTAAACTCACTTACTTGTTGTAGCAGCATTATCCACCTACAATTAAACATTGTCTAATAAATCACTATAAATAAATCACCTAGACAACTTACTTCATTGGCTGCTTATTATTAAAGTGAGAGCAGGAGATTTAAAAAAAAAAAAACTTCTAAAATAAGTTAACATCTGATTGAAAATTAAACCATTTTTTTCATGTAGGCTGTGTGACTCCCTGCCAGGGGAGGTGTGGCTAGGGCTGCATGGACATAAACAAGCAGTGAGAGTGCGGAGTCATGAACTATACACTTAAACCGCTTCATTAAGGTAAAGCCATTTTGGTGACTATAGTGTCCCTTTATGGTTTCCTTAGTGAATGGACTCACGTTCATAGGGGTCCTGCACGACATTGCACAGCAGGGCTCTAGCAAAACATATTCACAGTGTAGCTTCTGCAAGATATTGCACAGCGCAACTCCAACCATAAAGTATGTAACATAGCCCCAGCGAGATATTGTATAACATTACTTGGGCAGGAAATCGCACAGCCTCAGCTAGACATTGCACATCTTTGAAATCTAAAAAAAATCGCAAAGAACGGCTTTGAAAAGAGTTATAATACATTGCTCAACATTTATATTCGAAAACAAGGTGAATATTATCGATTTAGGATTTTGATCTCGATAATAATCCGGAACAGTGATAAAAGCTGCAGCCCACTTAATAGTCTTCTATTCCGTGTAAGGGACTATAACTTACATATTTAATACTGCTACTATTTTTGTCATTTGTGCAAGTGTGATTAGTACCAGCTATACATTTGTATATTTTTTTTCTGGTGCAACATTTTATTTATCATCGGAATCTCTTTGCTTTAGGTAACTTTGTCACTAACACTAAGTGCTCTATTATATTATTATTTTATGAGTTAACATGAACTGGCATAAGCAGAAGCCATTACAAAACAAAGCTGTGGAGGAACATGAAACGTGGGACAAGGTATTGGTGGCTGATTCATTTTGGAGATACAGGTAAGTGGTATGACCAGCCACGACAACATCAACAGCAAGCCCTTCCATAGCTTTGATGATCATTTTTGATTAATTTATAAAAATACTCATTAAGAGAAAAAGTTTGCCAGAAATAGGGCAACATTGTAATGACTGAAGCAAAAAAACAACTTGACTATAAAAAAAAGTATCATGTATAGCAGTGCTCCTCAACCCTCTCCTCAAGACACACCTAACAGTCCAGAATTTAGGGATTACCCAGGTGTGTCTAAGGTGTTTAAAAAAAAACAAAAATCTAAAAACACCTTAGACTTTAAGGTGTTTTCGCCCCCTTCTTTCTCTAAACACCTTAGACACACCCGGGTAATCCCTAAATTCTGGACTGTTGGGTGTGCCTTGAGGAGAGGGTTGAGGAGCACTGGTATGTATCATTGTACCCAACACTGTAAGTGTAGAGTGATTTAGGGTTAAAATAATGTTTTTTTAGGATTAGAAGGCACTTAGGCTTAGTGTTTGGGTGGTTAGAAAGGTACCCGTACATGTTTTTATAATCTTTTCTAGGTTATGGTGTTCATTCATGGAGGAGGATTAAGAATGGGATCTGCGACCTTGCATGATGGATCTTCATTGACCGCGTATGAGAATGTAGTGGTGGTGTCAATCCAGTACAGACTGGGATTACTGGGATTCTTTAGGTAAATGTATAAATAACATGCTAGACGTTCTCCATGTGTTTTAGAAACAAGGAAAAGAAAAAGAAGAGAACTGTCCCTAAAAATATATATATACTGGTATTGACAAACTTCAGTTCCCACTATTTAAGTTAGTATGTGATTCCCAGAGATTGATTTTGTGGCTGATTGCCCCTAGGTAACTTGTTGAGTGTACGATCTTATTATATCGTTACATATATTCCACGCACTTTCGATACACCGGTGCACATTATCATTTGATAGCTGCGTGAAATATACAAAGAGTTACATTACTGAGTATCAGATACATTTCTGATACACTGTTGCATTGATTTCTATTTTGCAAAGTAGTTACCTCTCAAGGGGCTTTGTCGATTTAGGAAAGGGATTTAGGGGTGATTATTTCTGATGACTTAAAGGTAGGCAGACAATGTAATAGAGCAGCAGGAAATGCTAGCAGAATGCTTGGTTGTATAGGGAGAGGTATTAGCAGTAGAAAGAGGGAAGTGCTCATGCCATTGTACAGAACACTGGTGAGACCTCACTTGGAGTATTGTACACAGTACTGGAGACCGTATCTTCAGAAGGATATTGATACCTTATAGAGGGTTCAGAGAAGGGCTACTAAACTGGTTCATGGATTGCGGGATAAAACTTACCAGGAAAGGTTAAAGGATCTTAACATGTATAGCTTGGAGGAAAGACGAGACAGGGGGGATATGATAGAAACATTTAAATATATAAAGGGAATCAACACAGTAAAGGAGGAGACTATATTTAAAAGAAGAAAAACTACCACAACAAGAGGACATAGTCTTAAATTAGAGGGACAAAGGTTTAAAAATAATATCAGGAAGTATTACTTTACTGAGAGGGTAGTGGATGCATGGAATAGCCTTCCAGCTGAAGTGGTAGAGGTTAACACAGTAAAGGAGTTTAAGCATGCGTGGGATAGGCATAAGGCTATCCTTACTATAAGATAAGGCTAGGGACTAATGAAAGTATTTACAAAATTGGGCAGACTAGATGGGCCGAATGGTTCTTATCTGCCGTCACATTCTATGTTTCTATGTTTCTATGTTACTCTGTGCCATTCATTCTCTCTTTATATACGTGATAATTATATACTGAGTTCCGGCTGATCTTATGATTAAAGTTATTAGTTAGATATTGACATATCTATATCTATCTATGCCAGCTCAGTTTATTCAATTAATTTGTTTACTTGTGTGTCACATCTCACTTCCCTTTCCCTCTATGTGTGTTTCTTACGTAGACTACTGTAATTAACTCGCAATATTGAGTCAGGTAGCTACTGTCAGGGTTTGTTTTGCAAAGTATATGTGAGTCTTTTCTGTTTAATAAAGTATTTTTGAGATTTGAATAGTTATTTCCTATATATATATATATATATATATATATATATATATATATATATATATATATATTTAGGGACAGTTCTCTTCTTTTTCTTTTCCTTGCTACCAATTCTATTAGGGTTACCCCCTGTTCTGTTCCCTTGGACTTCTTGGCCAACTATTCTTTATCTATGTGTTTTAGAAACCTTCACGGGAAACAATTGATAGAACGATTTAATTTCCCATTCTCTATCCTGTGTCTCAGTACAGGGGATGGTCAAGCACCTGGAAACTATGGATTTTTTGATCAAGTTGCAGCTCTTCAGTGGGTTCAGGAAAACATTAAGGACTTTGGTGGAGATCCTCAATCTGTCACCATATTTGGACATTCTGCAGGAGCCATTAGTGTGTCTGCTCTGGTAGGTTCTCTATATCTCTGTATCCCTTACACCAGTAAATCAGTCAACATCAGTTGATCTCAGCAAAGGCCACCGACATGTCCACTTGAGATATTAGGTCTACATAATGCACAAGTTGCATGCTTATAGATTAAAGAACCAGCGAATCTCTAAAACCATAGAAGCCACAATCAACTATTTGTTGTGTTAATATCCACATCATTACGTGTGTCCTGTAGGAAAGCAAAAAAAAAAAAATAATATGCACCATTACTAAATCACGTGTTCTCTCAGATACAATAGAAAATATTCAGATCCTGAATGGAATCTGATCTGCTGTTCCATTTTGTTTTATATTGCTTTATAATAAAAGACAAAACTTGGCCACTGTATACTCGAGTTTGCAAAGGTATGTGGGAAAAGAGCCTTTACCTTGTCTGACCATCTAACAAAACAGGTCATATTATAAGTCCTCAAAGTTAACTTATAATTCTTCCTCTCTCCCCTGTCTGTGTGCTGTTTCCAGGTGTTATCTCCCATATCTAAGGGCTTATTCCACAGAGCCATCGCAGAGAGCGGGACTGCAATAATGCCTGGACTGATGGTCACCCAACCTGAAAATGTGGCAGCCATGGCTCGGGCAAGTATTACTTATCTCCCGCTACATCCTGCTGACTACTGTTTGTTCCCAGTGAAAGATATTGCACTTTTTATTGCACCATTAATTAAAGCAGATTTTAGTAGGATGAAGAGAAGCCGAATAAGACTACAGGACAGACGAAGGCTCTTAAAGGATGCTGAAAAGGGAGTATGGTTTTCAAATAGCTGCTATTTTGGAGTATTTATCTCCACGCTCTTACAAACGTAGTAACATCATCTATGACAGCAGTTATCACAACACAATAAACATGTAATAAACCCTATAAAAGTACAAATTATTGGGTAACGTTTTGCTGGCCCTACACTGAAAGAACTCCACCAACTCCATCTTTACTTTCTTACAATGTATTATTTACTTAGTCTTAGAAGGACTTGGTGTAACACATAGAAAATACACTCAGATACTATGTTATCAAAATACAACTTTACAGGTCTGCCGATGTGGGTTCTGTATCTATTTCATTGTTCCAAACCAAATCCATTGATTCCACACGTCTAGTACCTTTATGGTCAGTACTAGGTTTGGGATATGGACATGATGATGCCCCACTACAGTCTGTAATAAATGTTGCCGCCAGACAGATTTTTCTCTCTAGCCGTTCCTCTCACACCTCACCCCTCTGTCAGTCCTTACATCGGCTTACTGCATCCTATAGAAGTCAATTCGAAGTGCTAACCCATACCTAAAAAGCACTGACCAATTCTAGCCCCTCTTATATATCCTCACAGATCCATAGGAATGCCCCTTGTTGGTCTCTCCTCTCTGCCCGTGACCTTCTCCTGTCCGCTGCTCGCACCCATACGGCCAACTCGCACTTGCTGGACTTCTCGCGGGCGGCTCCCTTCCTATGGAGTAGCATGGCTACTGCCATCAGACTCTCCCCTAGTCTTCAATCATTTAAAACACAAAGCTTATGGCCTCCCAGAGTAACATCTACCTTACATACTTGTCTCTTGCTCTCTCCTAAATGGCATCAGTTTACTCTCTCCTCCAGCTCTAATTGTAATGACATCCATGCTTGGCCCCTTTTTGACAGTGTCATGAAAGGGAAGGAGCATAGTCATTTTCACATAAAGCCAGGGTGAATAGCTTTTTTACAACTATGGTGTCAGGAATATATGTTTGTATTCTTCCTTTAACCCCTTAAGGACCAAACTTCTGGAATAAAAGGGAATCATGACATGTCACATGTCATGTGTCCTTAAGGGGTTAATCAAATTAAAGGAACATTCTGGTCACCATAACAACTTCAACTAAATGAAAATGCTATGATGCAAGGAGGCTCCTGGGCGCTCTTTTTCCTTTAAGGGGTGAAACCACTCTGAAATGGTTTACCCCCAAATGCTTCCTCCAGCTCCAGATCTCCAGGTCCCTCAGTGGTATTCAGCTTCTTAAACGGAGTGTCAGGAAGTGCAGACTGATGTCAGGCATGGGTGCCGCTGATTGGCTAGAGGGTCAGCTGGCACTCTAAGCCAATTGCTAGTTCCCGATTCATAAAAATGTTTTACATTTTCATGAATGGGGAGCTACTGATTGGCTTAGAGTGCCAGCTGACCCTCTAGCCAATCAGCGGCACCCCTACCCAGCGGCCCTCTGTGTTTCCTGTCACTCAGTAAATAAAAGTGAACACATTAACACTGATATTTTTTTTTTTTACCTGGGGAGATGAGAAGGTCCAAAGTTTCCCTGCCAGGCCCAGATACCAAAGCCTTATGATGTGGTGTCCAGAATGAAGTGCTCCAATCTCATTTTCTTCTCTTTCATTTGACACAGTCTTTTTCGTCTGAGGCTCTAGACTTTATGAGGCCTTAGGCGAAACTCAAACATGTGGCCCCACTAACAAAAAAGTGAAAAAAATAGAGTTGCAATGCATGCACACGGTCACATATACACAGTGATGCACAGTTTACCTGTGTATGTGCCTTAGAGTGTGTCTGACAGAGAGTATCTGTGTGTGTGTGTGTGTGTGTGTGAATGTATGTCTCTGTGAGTATGTTTGCGTTTTTGTCTGGTACCCTATGTGTATGGGGCAGCTGCTTGAAGAGGCGGGTGACGGTGAGACGGAGAGGCGGGTGATGGTGAGTGGGGAGTGATGGTGAGGGGGCATAATGCTGAGGGAGGGGGTGATGGTGACGGAGGGGGTGCTGTGGGTGGTGAGGGGGGGTGACCCTGATGGAGGGAGTGATGGTGGTCAGGGGGGGTGATAGTGAGGGGGTGATACTGAGGAAGGGGGTGATGGTGGGGGGTGATGCTGAGGGTGGTGAGGGGGTGATAGTGGGGGGTGATGCTGAGGGGAGTTGATAGTGAGGGGGGTGATGCTGAGGGGTGATAGTGGGGGGGTGATGCTGAGGGGGGGGTGATGCTGAGGGGAGTTGATAGTGAGGGGGGGTGATAGTGCCCCTCCCCCATCCCTCACTTACCTGCTCTGTAGCTTGCCCCCCATCCCTCACTTACCTGCTCTGTAGGTTGCCCCCCATCCCTCACTTACCTGCTCTGTAGGTTGCCCCTCCCCCATCCCTCACTTACCTGCTCTGTAGGCTGCCCCTCCCCCATCCCTCACTTACCTGCTCTGTAGGCTGCCCCTCCCCCATCCCTCACTTACCTGCTCTGTAGGCTGCCTCTGTGCTGCTCCCCTGCGGTTTCAGTTATGAGTGAGAGGCAGGGATAAGCTGTAGCTTCCTGCCTTTTAACATTCACAGCGTATTCTCACACAAACCAAAAATAGCAGCACAAGCTGAAAAATCCAGGGGGGGGGGCAAGTGCCCCCTCTTGCCCCCCCTGCAGACGCCCATGTGTATAATATATTTAGCGCTGGTTTAAAGAAATCTTTGACTTTGTTTGATTCTTTTGTTTTTCTTTTTCCTTACATCAGCACCTTTTAATCCCCATATTTTATCGTTTTGATATTCTTATCCGCTTACCATAACTGACACAATTTCCTGGCAGGTTGTTGCTAGTTTATCCGACTGTGATTTGGCTGAAGTTGTGGACTGTTTGAAAATGAAAACTGATGAAGAAATTCTTTCCATAGCGGCAGCAATGGTACAGTACACCATGGCGGTGAAATCTTCCATTTTTGTATAGAAGTTTCAAAAGAACTGCTTATTAAAAATTTGGGTTAATGTTCTGAATTTTGATTATCCTATGGACTTATGGCTTGTCCAAGTGAAAAAGGGGGAAAGGCAGGAGGACCCAGTTTCAGGATGAAGCACAAGGAACATGCACTAGAGAGTATGAAATCACGTTAGTACAGGAACAGAGAATAAGGATATGGATTAGAGAAACCAAAACTGATACTGTTAGAAGGACAATAATTGGAGAACAAGTATAGAGAAACCAGAACTGTTACAGATGCAGCTGCGGTGTGGGTAGGAATCAGGAAAGGGCACAATGGACCACTGTTTAATATGAGTGCTAGGTTAACACCACCATAATAAATACTAAAATATAGATAAACATTGTTTTTTCATGCATTGTATCCAAAATGGACCTTACAAACATAAGATTGTATCTATACAGAATTTTATGCCTTTTCCTGGCTGTGTGGACGGTGTGTTTCTTCCAAAAAGTGCAGAAGAGATTTTGGCCGGTAAAGAGAGCCACGATGTCCCCTTGATGATTGGAGTCAATGACCATGAGTTTGGCTGGGTGCTTCCAAAGGTGAGAAGCCGGTAATCATTTGTTTATTTTTTATTTATTTAGTTTTAAATTCTTTATTTACGTTGAAAGAAATTACATGTATAAGGCTGATACAATTTGTGTTACAAACGAATCTTAACATACATGTTTCATAACTGAGTTTTTAACATAGTAATCAAACTTACAATCAATGGGTGTACGCTAATGATTCTCTACTATCTCTCATAGAGCCAACCCAATGGTTACTTTGAAGCTCTCTGAGATTACGATTTGCGTGTTGTCAACCTTGGTTTTATATTTTATAGAAAAAGAGAAGCAAGAGATATTCGGTAGCATGTGAAACTGGCCTAACATGCGAGTACATTAGGTTCTTAGGTGTGATTCCCACTGGCTGTTTGTCTTTTCTGATCTATTGATGTACGGTATGATACATTTTCTTTAAAACCGGAGGTTTAGAGTTAGTAGCCCCTTTCCCTCCCTCTGGCCTATTAAGGGCTTGGTGGGGCTAACCCTATGGGTTCCAGTACACTCCTTGTATGATGCCGTTGGCCAGTGGGGTTCTCTGCGGGATAACCATAGATCACACGCCTTTGATCACATCAGTCCCTTAGGCAGTTTCCGCTTGCTTCCCCCCCTTCACCCCCAGGGGGGTATGTGTTGCTCATAGTAAGAAAAAGAAAGGGATAGAAAAAAAGAGAGGAATAAGTGTCGAAAATCGCTAGGGTGGGGAGCAGGCAGGGGGCAAGGGGGGGCAGAAAAGCTATCTCTTTAGGTATCAAAACCTGCGCCGTGGGACAAGGTCCACCGGTGCATTAACCCAGGGGTTTGTCTTCCCAGGGAGCCCATATTTTCTGGAACATTTTTTGAGTTCCCCTGACTCTAGCCATCAGATCATCCACCATATGTACCTCCCGTATTCTATTAATGACCCCCGCTATGGGTGGAGTGGTCTGTTTAAGCCAATCTGAGGCCACCGCTCTCCTAGCTGCTAGGGTTATTTTATGTAAAAGTTTTGTTCATGCCTAGTCCAACCGTCTATTGTTCTACTAAGTAGGTATAGCCATGGGTCCATTGGAGGGGCCCTGGACATCACCTGCGCCAGTAGGTCTCTAATCTGCTGCCAGAATCTTACTATCATTGGGCATTCCCACCACATGTGGATGTATGTCCCTTTCATGCCACACCCTCTCCAACATCATTTGTTTATTATGTCATTAGTCTTGCATGAATATTTGGCAAAATAATTTGATCATTGATTAAGAATTACAATAACAATACAGTAACATTTATATTTTCTGGGTCCTTCATGTTTTGTTTAATGAAGTTGTTTGTGTTTTTGTTGGCACAGATATTGAACATGAGTGCACTAACAGAAGGAATGGATAAGGACATGGTCCGGTCTGCTCAAAGTTCCATTAGTAAATTGGTAAAGATGTGTGGAGCATGTATACTTAATGCCAGGCAGTAAAAATTTACATTATTTATCCTTTAGATAGATTCATACAATAATTTGTATTTCTTTACCTCCTTACCTCCTTAATTTCAATCTTGCTACATCTCATCCCCATTGCACATACTATATATCTACATACCCATATCTCTTTATGTACTCTATATATACATACACCAGAGACAAAATAAAGGAAATACCTAACCTAACAATGTAACAAATTATACTTAAGAGTAGGACCACTGTTTGTCTCCAGAATAGCTTTGTGCTTGCAGTCATACAGACCTGAACTGCGCCCATACCATACTGAGTCATTCATCAAGTAGAAATTTCTTCTTTTGAAGGATGAAGGAGATGGACATGCACTTTGGACTCTCCAGATGTTACACGTATTTGTTATATTGTTTGATTTTTGACGTTTTCTTCCAGGGGATATCTCTGGATGTACCTTATATGCGGTTGGAGGAGAAGTTCAATGTTGATGATCCATTTGAACTCAGAAATTGGTTCTTGGACAAGTGTGGAGACATTCTCTTTGTTATACCTGCTCTTAGAACTGCAAAGTATCATCGAGGTACGTGGCACAACCAGAGAATCAGGTGTGTGTGGTGGAATTGCATAAGAAGCCAGGGTTAGAACTTGGCTTATATATATATATATATAAAAAACTGAAGTTATATTACACTGACAACAAATGTCTGATCATGTAAGTGTTGTGTAGGCTACACAAACGAAAGAAAACAAAACAAAACAAAAAGTAGTGTAAATATTCCTTATTTTAAGAAATCGTTTTATTTTAAATATTTGCTGATAATGTGTTATGTGCCTGCTTCCTCTTTCGTTGAAACAACAACTTATCTTGTAGATAATGTGTTATACATAACGGTTAATGATTTTACTAAATGATATACTTGGGAAACAGTAACAGGGTTAATCGCTGAAGTGTGAATTCAAAGTGTATTTCAGATTTAAGGTCAAAATAGCTGAACTCGAAGAATTCTTTTGGTCAGCTATGCTTTAATTTCGGCTACTCTGGGTTATAACGTCAACCACAATGACCTCAGCTTGAAACACTGCATATACTGAGTTATCTGCACTTGTGTGCTCGAGGCTAATTGCAACCTCAACACATGTGACATTGGTAGTTTAGATATCTGTCCTGGGTTGCAAATGTAACTTCTGTGCATAAAAAACACGCTTCGCACATGGCTGGAGTTAAAATAAATAAAATTATTTTTTTGCAGGTTAAACTGCAAATCAAGGGGGAGGGGGCATAATCGGGCAATTTACATAGGAAATGTCCCCCATCAAAACGACTGTTGTAACATTTAAATGTGTAACCAAAACCACTAATTGTTAAAGTAATGAAAAAAAATGAATAAAAAGTGGTTTTGGTGGCTTTGTCTGACAATACAAAATATTATGTTAGTGTCCCTTTAAGCATTGCTTTGTCCATGGTGGTACATGGTTCATTTCAGTGAACCCCTCTTCTGACACCACCCAGTCTTCTATTCACCTTACAGATTCTGGATTACCTGTATACTTCTACGAATTTCAGCATCGCCCTGCATCATTCAAAGATTTAAAGCCAGATTTTGTCCGAGCAGATCACGGAGATGAAATTCTGCCAGTGTTCGGAGCCCCATTCCTGAATGGCGATGTCATTTTCAAAGGTAAGTCACTCTTGTAGTAGAGATTAACAGATTATAATATTTTTTTAAGTTTGGATATTGAAAATGTGTAATTTTATTCCCAAGATGCTGCTACAGATGAAGAAATCGCTTTCAGTAAAACCGTGATGAAATACTGGGCCAACTTTGCTCGCACTGGGTGAGATACCTGTTTTTATCACTTCGATTGTCAAGTGGCATTCGCACAGCTTGGCAACAGCGGGAGTACTGGTATGAGGGAGAGTCTCGGAGATGCCCTTGCTAGGGCACATTAGGAACTCGGGGATAATTAGGCTTAATTACATATACATCTGAAAAATGTAGTATATACAACATGCCACTCATTTCCTATACTATTTGACAGGGTAAATAAATAATGGCATTAATTGTAACGTATGATAAAAGCTAACATTATATTAAAAATTATGTAATTACTTGATAGTTATATAGTACAGCAAAGATAAAGTTGGCATGTTTTGTAATCTATTGTAAAGTCAGGCAAATTATTGTAAAGGCTGTCATGTGTTATGTTTGGGTTAATGGGATCCAATAGTGCCAGGAAAACAAACCCGTTGCCCTGGCATTATAGGCTCCTGGAGTGCCCCCCTCCAGCGGGGCTGAAGGGGTTTTAGACTTACCTGAGTCACATCGGCGCTGGGTCAGGCTCCACCCACGCTCCTCCCCCGCCAACGTCTGCCGGCAGGGGAGACCTAAAGCGCATGCACGGCAATGGACTCGTGCACATTAGACCTCCCCATAGGAATGCATTATTCAATGCTTTCCTATGGGGAAAATCTGATCCTGGAGGTCCGTGAGTTCCTCCAGCATCAAATAATGGACCAAAAGTTTGTTTGGATTCCGGAAGCCCTCTAGTGGCTGTCTGTCAGACAACCACTGGGAGCAGACTTAGAGCTGCAATGTAAACATTGCAATTTCTCTGGAACTGCAGTGTTTTACATTGCAGCACTATTTGCAAAAGGGTCACATCACCCAGACTACTTCAATTAGCTGGAGTGGTCTGGGTGCCTACAGTGTCCCTTTAAGACTGGCATGGGTTATGCATTAGGTTTAAGATTGCTCATAACTTTGTCAACTGATTCCTCTTTTCCCTCGTTCACTAAATACTGGGAATGTGATTTACAAATCTCCATGGACAAGGTTCAGTGGGGTAAAATGTTCTTACTCACACACAAGTTATCCATTAATACTCAATATCACGAGAAAGGATACAAACTGATCACACACTGGTACCCATGAGACTTTATTTCATATTTATTCTGCTGCTGATGTGGGGTGTTGGATATGTGAACTGGACATCCTTGTTCATTTTTGGTTCAGTTGCCTTCCGATAAGACTTTTCTGGCAGTAGATCCATAAGGTGGGATGGGACCATACCTATCGCATCTCACAAAACTTCCCATCCAAACCTATCATAAAACAGTTAACCAACACTTCACTGCAAGCAGCCTTATTCCCAAGTTCTGGAAGCTGAGAGTTGTGTCCATGTTCCGAGCCTGGACTTTTAGGGTAGAAGAGATATATTCCTATCAACAAATAATTCTTCTGGCTTTATTAGCAACTCTTCAACAAATGCTGAAGAGCGGAAAAGTTGAAGACTGGCATGGTTGGTAAGCATGAGTAGGTTTGGCATGTAGTAAAAGGGAAGGTTAAGATTATCATGTCTTTTAAGCTAGGGTTGAGGTTGGCATTTATTACAAGTTAGGGTTAGGTCAGTGATGGGACATGAGCTAGGGTAAAAGATAGCCCATATTGTAACCTAGAGTTTATTAAGGCTTTGCAAGCCAATTTGGAGAGAGGCAATGCTAAGGGACAGTTACTTATCTTATCCAAACATGATCTCTTCGTCCACAGTGATCCCAATGGACCTGGTTTGGTAAAATGGCCGCTATTCAGTGAAGATGAAGATTATCTGGAAATTAATGTGGAACAGAAACCAAATAGGCAACTGAAGCAAGAAAGTCTAGATTTCTGGACGAAAACCATGCCGGAAAAAATCCGCAATGTGCCACAGGAAAATAAAGATCATGTGGAGTTATAGATATGTCTAGATCAATATTTTTTCTGTTAAAATTATATGAACTCACAGCTAAAAAAAAAAAAGACTGCAAAATGTACATGATGGATGTTTAGCCCCTTAAGGACACATGACATGTGTGACATGTCATGATTCCCTTTTATTCCAGAAGTTTGGTCCTTAAGGGGTTAAAGGAACAGACCATTCTGATGGATGAGGAATATAAGGGCAGCGACCAGATGGGGGCTTATTTGCCTAATATCCAACAAAGATCAGTGAAACTTATGTTTCAGATTTGTGAGAATTTTCAGTATCTGCACCTCAAATACTAATTATTTTTCTAACCCCCCCCAAAACCCCAGAAGGAGTATAGGGTACCTAGAACCCTCAAGTTGCAGTGAGCTAGGTCTTCCATAAGACACTTGTTTGGCATTGGAGACTTGAGATGTTTTTGCACCAAGAAGTCACACTCATTAGGTTCCAATAATATAAAAGACAAAATGAAATTGGAGTGAATTCACAACAAAAATGCAAAATCTTGGAAAAACAAATCAGTAATCTTGGAAATCTTGGAAATATTAAAGGAACACTAAAGTATTAGGAATAAAAAATCTGCCCTTATGTATTGTCAGCCTCCCCCACCACCCCAACCCCCTCGCCACTCGTGTGCATTTAAAAATATAATATTTACTTACCCTTTTCCAGAGCCGAGGCTCCCGACTTGTTCATTTTGGAATAATTTTAGCAGAGAAGTTGTAAACCGCCCACAACTCACAGTTTAGTGAATAAACAAGTCGCCACTCATTTATACTGTGAAATTTAAATTGCCTTTTGATTTTCGCTTTTTAGAAATGCCAAATGACCTAAATTACCCCTGTGATCCAAAATCAACTGTTGTTCTGTTGGGAGGGTTTTGCTAAGTTTAGCTTATAACTCATATCAATGCCAGGCAGTTTGCAAAGCGATTAAATGTTTGGCAATGGGATTGGGAACGTGCCATGTCCTTGAACAGCTGCCCAGACCTGTATAGTATTGACTCTGTTTAGTTGCAGGGTTTATCAAACGTCCCCAAGAGCCAACTACAAACCCTGTTCCACATACAGATTAATACTATGAACTATTACAGTTAGAACAGCAGATTTGTACCATCCTCCTTCCAGGCGTTCCCTGTCTATCTATAACTAGAGATGATAGAACGTCAGTAAGTCTGGTTACATTTTATCTCCTGTAGGACCTGCTGAGTGTCTCATACTCCCGGCTTAGCAATTCCAATGGGATTCCAGAAGCCAACGGTCGCTTTGTGCTGTGTGTTGCTGAGTGTCTTCGTAACAGGTGAGGTGGAACACAGAATATCTACGGAGTGTCACAAAAAGAATTATCACATCAGAGAAGAGCTTGTTGTTTCTTATAGTACGCCCATAACAAGACGTCAGAGAGATAATCCTTAACTTTTTATAAGTAAAATGAATGAATTGAATTTCTTTGCTGTGCTCGCTTTTACCACTTCCTCCGGCAGACTTTTCCAGGTATCTACTACCCTCTCTGTAAAGTACTATTTTATTCTCTTTCTCCAATCATCCCTTATTGTTCTAGTCCCTTTATTGGAGATATGTAGGACTGCGTGACTTGCACTGTTTATTGCTGTATAAATCCATAGAGAACTTACTGTAATGAATGATCTAAATGAAAGGGTTCCATTAAATGTAGAAAGCACAATGTGTATTCTGACTGATTTTGTTATGTTTTTTTAGAAAACTTTGTTACGGATAGAAAAGTGTAACTAGTGTCACTAGTGATACACAGACATCAAAATATCAGAAATGAAATCATAGTTGACTTGGAGAATTTCTACAGTTTAGCTATTTTGTAATTAATTTTGTTTTCCCCCAAATTCTCAGTTTAGTAAATAGCTCTCTCAGTGCTGCAAATAAGTAATTGAGAGCCATCAAAGTATGGATTTGCAGTTTGCTTTAAGATAAATTGTAGTAAAATTAATGATATGAAGAGAAGACACCGGGACAGCTCTCAATCATTCAATAAAACAAAAATGTGCATCTCTGTGTTTAGCTGAATCAGCAACATTGTAATTACATCCTGCAATGGGTTTGGACTTAAAACACATTAATTGCATTTAATATATTTTGTTCATGGTATTTCATTTGTAAAACACTGAATCAGTTTTAGCTGAGGATGGGAGTATTCTGTAAAAATAGATGTTACATGGAACCGAAAAAAAAGATAAATTAAATAAGATAAGAATCATTGTGGCCATCAGTCGAGGAGTTACCGAGACATTGTGTTGATGTTTGTACATTACTGTCACAGAAGATAAATATCTCATAAATAGAGAGTGTGCCAAAGTCTGAATCCTGTCTTGACAACCTGCGTCGGGCAAATGTACTTCCAAAACAAAAACCTTTCAACGCTTTATTTTTATTTATTTTTTTACTAAAAATGAAATTGTTACAAATTGAAATCCACTTGGTAAAATTTATGTTGAAGTAGGCAAGCAGTGATGATAACAGAGTATGAGAATTTTTCCAGATTACCTGTTTTGTCATAAAATTTTACCACATGACAGGAGGCTTCCTATTTTGCATTAAACTCTCTTTACTAACTCACACAGCAGTAAAGAAAAGTGAAACATTAACCAATCAAAATGCAATAGGAAGCATAGTATTCACAGTGATGAGGCTCCTCCCCCTCTTTCTTTACTGCTCCATCAGCAGACAGGTCAGAGTTTTTGGCTCTTCCCTAATTGTATTGAATTATGTTACCTTTATGATTTCTCCTTATCTATGGATGTTTATTTTCTGGGGTTTTTTCTTCCCTATCTGTCTCTTAGGACTTTCTGTTCCCCCCTTTTACATTGTACTATCTCCTCTCAGGGATTCTTCCCTGCTGCTTTCCCTCCCTGCCCTCAGGGACTTGTATTTGTATACTGCTATCTTTCCTCAGATCTACATTTATATTGATTTTATTTTACTTATTGTATTTTATTCTACTTTATTTTATTATCTATCCGTTTTTGCTTTTTTCATGGCACTTTCCGATCTCACTTTCCCTGAGATCGGATCGTTGGTTTTGTCCTTGAGGGTAACGCTCACCCTCCACTCTCACCGTTCTCCTCGCGGCCTCTCAGCCGCAATCACTGGCCGGCACGGCGGGAAACCCCTTTCCCGTCTCCCCGGTGGCCATATTGGATCTCGCGTCTCGCGAGATTACCTGCGGCCGACCACAAATACTAGCTCACCATCCAGGCAGGGGTCAGCAAATTTGTTCTTTGCCTATTTAACTACCATAACAGCTGTCAGCCCCACACAGTGGGGAACCACTATACCCTTACTGATATCAGGTGGATTTTGTGCCACCTTTCTATTTATATAACTGGGTGAGGCCCTTTAAGTACTGCTGCTTTCAGGTGGATTTTGTGCCACCTATATATGTATATAATCAGGTGTAACCTTGTAATCTTCTATTCAGGTGGATTTTGTGCCATCTTCCTATACATATACATATCTGGGTGAGGCCCAGTGCAAATCCCAATCTACCCTGCTGGGGAAGCTGGTATTCTTATACCACATACTTGGATTTTACATACCCACCCTGCTGGGGTGCCTGCATTATTATTTTATATATACTTATACCCTGCTGGGGTTCTCCAGGTGCCACTGGTACCATCACTTACTGTGATCCACACCACAGACTGACCCCTAGCCTAACGTATACCCTGTGCCAAACAATATTCTGAGCTATTCCGGTCCTGCTCCTAAAACACTATGGATACTCCCCAGAACCCTGTAGATTTTCAGGCAATGATTACTAAAGCCATCTCCGCATCTATGGAGAAAGCACTTTCCAGGGTAATGACGGCATCAGCCGATCTAACCATGTTTTTCCACTAAAGCCCAACACCATGACTATGATTCTGAGGCTTCAGAAACGCAGACACAGGCTGACCCACGACCTACCAAATGCCACTGGAAGGGCGAAACGGGGAACGTTATCCCGGGCAAAGGCAAGGCTCCAACCAAACGCCATAAGCCGACCCAACCTACCCCCACCCCACAACACTGCTACTCCTTGCATGAGGGGGAAGAACACCCACACTCCATGGCTGTGCTGGACGAGTGGCAGGCCGCGGATTCCGATTCGCATGATGATGAGTGGGGCTCGGACGTTGGATCCCATACGGGTTTCTTACGAGGCACGTTCCTGGATGACATCCAACTACCAGATGACCTTGCATCTGCCCAAGAGGAAGGGGAAGCCATCCTGGACCCCACTGGACAACGCCTCTTCGACCGTCGTAATATCAGACACCCACGCTCGGCGGACTGGACCCCCCCCCCAAACACCTCTCCAAATTTTTGCACCTGTGGCTCCGCAAACCGCTGGACAAAACGGTGCGCAACTGCCTACGCTCCGAATGCCCTCGCCCTTTGTTTCCTGACCACGTAACTCAGACCCAAAATTTGACCAGGTCATGGCCGTGACCCCCGTTGAGGCGTGGAAAAGGGATTCCACAGAGTCCAGGACAAATTGCTGGACTCCATTGGTCCACTTGCCCGCATCATGTCTTTGGCGGACGACGCTTTTACATGGGCTGACCAGTTTGATACCGGCATAAAAGAATGGGCTCATGACATAAGGGAATGGGCACAAAGGTGCTTCTGTTTTGTTGGTAACACCAATGTAGCCCTCTCCTCTGAGAGGCGTAAAGCAGCATTGCTCCGCATTGACGGTAAGCTGGTGGAATTGGGCACCAAGGAGTTAGGATCGCTGGCACAGGGCAAATTGTTTGGTGAAGCTTTCCTGAATAAACTGAACAAACATGTTAATATATTCACGTCCCTTAATAAAGCTCAGTCTTCGATGAAACGGGTCTTCAGGGGCCGTGCAGCCAGCCGCTTCTGGCCATCAGGCGCCCGTTCCCACAAGTCGGCGATATCTCCAGCCCAAACCATACAATGCTTGGGCTTTGAGATAGACTCCATGTCCAGCACTCTGCGACTGCCAGCTTCAAAGATCACGGCCATCAGAAAAGAATTACGCAGGGTCATTTGCTGCCACTCCATTCCACTCCGCAGCTTGGTGCGGATAGTAGGCCTATTATCCGCCTCCATCCAGGCAATCTTCCCAGGTCCGCTCCACTACAGGGCGATGCAACGACTGAAGACGTCCTTTCTTCGCCAAAACCCTTCCTGCTACCAAACCATCCCGGTAACGGAGGAGGTTCAAACAGGAACTCACATGGTGGTTGGACAGCATGGAGGCATGGAACGGCCGGGCCATCTTCGGGAGCACACCCGACACAGTCCTGGAATCGGATGCCAGCCTCTGGGGCTGGGGCGCCACTTGCGAAGGCAGGTCGACAGGCGGCACTTGGACTTCACAGGACCTCGACCTTCACATAAATTGTCTGGAACTCCTGGCGGGGTCGTTTGCAATCCGCAGCCTGGCAAGAGACAGGAAGCACTGTTGCATCCTCCTCCGGATAGACAACGTCTCTGCGGTCCGCTACATCAAGCGCTTGGGAGGTGCACGATCCCGACTCCTCTCGGAGATAATGAAACAGATCTTCGACTTATGCCTGCCACGCAATATCTCCCTCATAGCGGAATATCTCCCGGAAGAAACGAGCCTGACTGCGGACTGGTTCTCGCGCCACTGGCGAGACAGCAGCGACAGGAGACTGGACCCACAGATCTTCCAGCGCCTCTCGATCAGGAGAGGTCCCTTCCACCTGGATCTGTTTGCATCACGCAACAACAAACAGACAACCGACTACTTCAGCTGGCTCCCGGACCCGGAGAGCAGGGCAGTGGACGCGTTCCTCCAACCATGGCCAACCAGGGGAGCATATGCCTTTCCCCCGTTCGCCATGATAGCGAGGACGATTCAATGGCGGGGCCAACCCTGGTTCCCGGACCTTCTAGCATCGTCCTCCATGGGGCCCCTTCTCATACCATGCTATCCAACGCTCCTCACGGACCCGAGAGGCAACCCACATCCTCTCAACCTGGAGGACCGTCTCACATAGGTGGCTTGGACTCCTTCAGGGGTGCCTGGCACACCAGCGAGTTGTCGCAGGCAGCTAGAGATCTCATATGGGATTCATGGGCTCCAGGAACCAGACGATGTTACCTATCAGCTTGGAATTCCTGGTCCTCTTGGTGCAGTGAATGGAACATCGATCCCTTTACTGCCCCTGTAACGGCCATGCTGAACTTTCTTTCCTTTCTTTTTTCCGCGGGTCGTTCTTACCGCTCTCTAAACATTGTGCGCGATTTCGATGGCCCACGTCCCGGTCAGGGGGATCCCCATAGGGAAAGACCCCCTGGTCTGCAGACTTCTGGGGCATTCAACTACAAAGGCCCCCTAAACCCAAATACTCCCGCTTATGGGACGTTGACGTTTTCCCACGATTCCTGAGGGACTGGCCGGACAATGGCTCTCAGCTAATATGATTCTCCTGCTCTGCCTAGTCTCGTTCCGCCGGGTATCGGACTTCCGAGCATTCGACATCGACGCCTTTTCAGTCTCCCCAGAGGGCGTTACCTTTCGAGTCTCGAGTCGGACGAAATCGGACTCTACGTCGGTCTTCTACCCGTTCTTCCCTTCTGATCCACAGCTCTGCGTGGTTTCTACCCTACGTCGGTATGTGGAAGTCACATCTCCGCTCCGGGTCTCCTCTTCGGGACAGATTTTGGTGTCTTACATTAGACCACACATACCAGTCTCGGTTACTACCCTAGCCAGGTGGATAAGATGGATTCTATCACTGGCTGGAGTGGAAGAGGTCTTCGGAACCTTCGAAGTCTTCAGCTTTCTCGGCGGGAGCTTCGCTGACTGACATCCTACATTCCGCGGACTGGTCGCGAGAATCTACCTTTCGGACGTTTTACCTCCGCCCGAGCTCGGGAGCAGCCTCATCTCTCCTGCATTAGCGTTAAAAATGCAAAATAGGAAGCCTCCTGTCATGTGGTAAAATTGAAGATTATGCTAGCGTTAGTGTACTTATAATCTTAATTTTAGTAATGACAGGAGGCGAGTATTTTCCCGCCCGTCCCTCCCTTGCGAGGTAAGACTCAAGTAAGTATATTTGCCTCCGCTATCTCCTCTGTCTCTACCTTGATTCAGATTCTGTTTATATTTTCTCGCTCTGGAGATTTATAGTCAGTAGACTTGGGTTGTTTTTCTTACGCTGAATCTGCTATCTATCGTTGTAGTCGATAATGTGATATTCCTGTAACTAATCGTGGGTTATTAACATTACTTTAGCCAGTTTACAGACCGGTACCTAACCCATTTCACATTCTCTTTCAGTGTAAATCCGTGGCTTTACAGCTCATTCTCAGGATGGACACCTTTGCAACTTCTCCCATTCCATTTTCGTTTCTTGGGAAGTCGCCCGTTGGCGCATGTTACTGGACTTTGGACTCTATGGAACTCTATTCATGATGTCGCTTTCGAAAGAGGGGGAGGAGCCTCATCACTGTGAATACCATGCTTCCTATTGCATTTTGATTGGTTAATGTTTCACTTTTCTTTACTGCTGTGTGAGTTAGTAAAGAGAGTTTAATGCAAAATACTCGCCTCCTGTCATTACTAAAATTAAGATTATAAGTACACTAACGCTAGCATAATCTTCAATTGTCATTCAGATTTTAGTTTGAGCAGCTCACAATTTAGTTTTGTGTGTGTGTGTGCATGTGTCACAAGATAGTCAGGATACATAACTTACATGCAATAAGGTAGTGAGTTTAACATACGCCATTTTTTAGGAGGGTATAATAACAGGATTATAAACATGCTTATGAGATCTATCCAGAACGAGATTCTGGCATCAAAAGTTAAAGTATGGAAGGCTATCTATATATTGGGTTAAGTATTAGAATACAAGAGATTATCTCCTATTTATATCTGATTATCTCCTATTTGAGCTGCAAAACAAGGTATATCAAGCTTAGTTGACCTGTCTGTGTGTAGGGAATAGGCTTTCAGACACAAAAAGGTGAGAAAAGTCTAAGCAAAGTGAGTTGGTAATCAGGCTAACTGGCAGTGAAACTAGACAGGAGTGTGCTTTAAAGTAAAGTAAAGTGAGTACCACTGAGACTGAGTAACACTCCAACAGGTTAAACAAAAATATAAGAACGTGCTTAAAGTAAATGGTGGCTAAGCGTGCTAGGACTAAACATTGCTATATGAACCACCCTACAGGTCATTATAGAGGGAGATGGGCTCCAGAGACAATCTGCTTGGGGTGGAAGTCCCAGGGGAGACTGCATGGGTAAGAGTCTCTGGGTGTGGTAAGGCAATTAGCCTATGCCCCTTCATGAGGCATAGTCGCCAGGTGCTGCGGACGGGTTCCGCTTCCAAGTATATCAGGGAAACATCCTGAAAGGGCTCTGCGAGATATAGGACCAGACATGCTCCAGCGTAGGCCCCCAGACTGCTGGGTGGTCAGGGCGAGACAAGGGTCGATTCCGGTGCTTCTCGCTGGCATGGTGTCGGAGCCATCTCCTCTGTCGGGCGCATATATGCAGCAAGGGTTCCCACTCCCTCCACCACAGCTCCTCAAGGGTACAAGAGGGCTCTTTTGCCGCCCAGAGCGGTCCAACTTCTTGGGCCCCCTGGGTATCTCCGGTGGGGGATAAGTAAGTATGTGGGTGCTCTTCGTGGCGAGATCAGCGCTTGTAAGCCTGTGGTCAGGTTCCGCTCATTGCCTCAGTCTCTCCCAGATTTTCACAAATTTCGTCAAATGCTGCCAAAAGCTTAGAGTAGGCCTCGTATGGTGCACATGGTCATGTTCTGGCACCATTTTGAGAGCGGTAATGAGGCCCATGGATTTGACGGGGCGCACTTAGTTCAGTCCCAGATGAAGGTAAGTGGTTGAGAATGCTGGGATAATCCAAGGGGGGGGAAGACAGGGATGCCCACCTTGCGTCTGACTAGAACGTGGGCTGAGGGATCGGCCATCTCCCCCAGTCCCGTACCGCCAGGCTTCTACTAGGCCGCAATATTGCCACTGTGGGTCATCCACCGGTATAAGCAGTGGTGGCTATCAAATGTGTTAACGTGAGAGTCCTGGGTGAGCTGTGATTCAGCAGAGGTGTTTAAGTCAAAGATGGAGGTATTAGAGCCATCAAAAAGGTCAATAACAACAGGATTACTCCCAGAGCTCATGTGATGTGCGACCGTTCGCCGTACTGGGCAAACCCCGACCCCCCGGATAGTTTGAAACCCAGTGAACCATAGTTTATCAGAGTACTTTGTATATTTGTATCCACAGAGATCACATCTTTGCCTGAGCAATGTTTCCAATTGTGTAAATAGTTATTATGCCTATAGGAGTCCTATGTTAGGGGGTACCAAGCTGAATGGGCGAGCAATGAAACTTGCAGTAATAAGAATAAACAATGTGTATCACTTAATGAAAACTATACCACTTTCAGGACAAATGAACGAGCAACCCTTGGTGACCACAAAATATGGGAAACTACTTGGGAGAAAGGTGAAGGTACTGGAGACAGACAGACCAGTAGACGCTTTTATGGGAATCCCTTTTGCAAAGCCACCAATTGGTGAATTAAGATTAGCTAATCCTCAGCCCCCAGAACCATGGAACTCTATCAGGGATGCAGCTAAAGACCCACCCATGTAAGTATATGGTATCACTCAACACTCAACACAAACTATATTTTCAATTAATACAGCGAGTTGTGCTATTGTTGCTTGTTTGTTTCTTTGGGGTGGGGGTGTTTGCTAGTTTTTATTCACTGTATCTTCAAAACCACTGATACAATATTTCCATCCTGTCTTATATGTTTGTAAATGTGTAAGCAAAGTGAACGTGATGGACTTTAGTCTTATTTTCTAAAGATCACCATGTAACTATGTAATGGTCACCCCAGTCTTGAGACCATGTTAATGTCAAATCACGCAAGAACTGCATTTTTTGGATATTTGTTTAATTTTTTTAATGAGTGCGGTATTGTCCAGGTGTTTACAAAACCATAGATTAATGGAATTGATAAAGGAGCTTTTCAAGATTGAGACTCCGTTGCCCCCTATTTCCGAGGATTGCTTATACCTTAACGTTTTCACTCCAGGAGACCGAGAAAATAATTCTAAACTACCAGTAAGTACGGATACATTAATTTTGTTATTATAGAAGATATTGATTGAATGCAATTTGTGTAACATGTCATAAAAGTAATTGAAGCAAATATATGATATACAATGTTTATCAGACTAGAAACATATATAGAAGAAACTCAAACATCATTTGATTCAGTGGAGGAAGAAGATTGTGATCCAATGTTTTAAAAATTAAATCTGAAGGATATCTTTCTCTCCAAACACCCTATTGTCAAAAAGAGAAGATTACGTCATGTTTGAAACAAAGAAACAAAAGAGCTTGTGTCTACGAGGCAAATTAATTTATAGACTTGGCCAGTACCACTTTTAATCTCTTATGTACTTTTTATGACTTTGGGTTCTCCACGTCCCTTATCAAATCCTCCCTTTCTTGTTCCCAAGACTTTTTGAAACCTGCCCAAATCCCCTGGTACCCATATACCTTCATACATTCAGACTCTCTCACAATTTCAAAATGCTTAGAACACTAATCAAAGTCTCATAATTCCATGAAGTCATTTAATCTAGAGACCTAGTCTGCTATTTACATCAGCTTCTCGAAACCTACTATAGCTGTATGTTTGTTGATGTCATACTCTTTACTCAATTTATCCTACACGACATGACGCGTTCCCATCAATAAAAGATAGAAAGGAAGAGAGTGGAACTAGGTCAAGTGGGAAATGTAAAGATGTGACAATTTAGGCCAATAAAATAGGAGGTGCAGGGCTAAAATTATCCAGTTTTGTAGGGTGGATGTAGACCCACATTTGGGTTCCATTTTGTATGAAGCATACCGACTAAGGTTTCATTTCTTTTTTGGCCAGGTTATGATGTTTATACATGGTGGAGGCTTACAACTTGGAGGTGCCATATTTTTTGACGGTGCTGCATTGAGTGCTTTTGAAAATGTTGTAACTGTGTCAATCCAGTACAGACTGGCAATCTTGGGATTCACGAGGTAGGTCCTGATTCAGACAATGTATATGTACCCATGTTTACAGTAACAGTTGTACAATTACAGAAGAAAGAAGAATTGAAAAAGTTAACAGTTTTTCACACATCCCTCTTTCTGCTTTTTATCCAAAATTGGAAAAATAAAATGCTAAAAATCTAATTTCATCAGTTTCAAAATGTGTCATAAAAAGTGACAATTCCCTCTATCAGATCCATAAATCATTAGGGTTGATCAAAAGTTAGTTCCTTAGTGTGTATTAAACTATAATATAATCGGTAGATGGATTAGCGCTAAGTGACCACTAGGTGGTGATAGTATCTAGAGAAAAGGCAGCAACCTAAAATATGGTGTTCCCTCAAAACACAACAATAAAAAGTACAAAATGTAAAAACAAAAACAAAATATTAGGTTGTGCCAAAAATGTAAACAATGCGTACTTACATAGAATGAATGAAATAAAATAAAGTCCTGATAAAATATATGAAGTAAAAGTAGTCCAAGTTTGATTGTAGGGATGAGAAAGGTATTGTGGGTTTTATGAAATCCGAGGTAATTCGATGTCCGGATCACGCAGAAACATACAAATAAAAAAAAAAAGTACCAATCGTGTAAAACTGTGGTGGAGAGACGGAGGTTTTCTTAATAGAAGTGCTCCTACTCACCTATAGTAGAGCTATAACCAGCTCAGGAATAAATTGCTTTCAGTGGCGTTAATCCCCCACTGGTAGAATATAGGTGAAGGTTAGTAGTACAGGTCCTCATGATGGGGAGAGAGAAAAACAGAAACAAATAGTGCTCTCTGTATGTGTCAATAAAGATAAATATTTTAAAAGGTATAGTACTCACATGAGAGTGAGCAGAGAATTCTGCTCACTGTGGTAGCGTAGGTGGTATAATCCCCCCTGGGATTCTTGGGTGAGTCAGGAATCCAGTGTATTCAGTGACCAGGTAAAAACAATAAAAATAATAAAAAAATGCTATGTGTAAAAAAAGGGTATATGGCACAAGTACAAATTAAGGAGCCAATATTACTTTAATAAAATGAGAAAAGATACATTAAAAAGCAGCCAAACGCGTTTCACCAATATATGGACTCATCAAGTGGCAATAAAAGCAATACCTGGTACATAGGAGTTTATATAGATACTGACATACACTTAATTATTCGAATTTGGCGCCAAAATGACGTCACAATTAAAATTAGCATGCATTATAAAACTGATCAAAATCCATACATACATATTACGATAAGTTTTACAGAGTTACAATATACAATTTATTTTTCAAAACAAAGTGGTGCCTAGGGCGTACCTTTAAAAAAGCAAGAGATAATACATTCTAGATAAAACACACTGTGCAATAAGGGGACCTAAAACATTTCAACTTTTTTTCAAGAAGTGTGTAGGGAGGCTGTGTGAGTCACAGCCAGGGGAAGTGTGGCTCGGGCTGCATAAACATAGTGTTTTAACTCCTAAATGTCAGAAAATTGAGCGGTGAGACTGCAGAGGCACACTCCATACACCAAAACCACTTAATTTGGCTACAGCTGTTTTTGTACTTAGAGTATCCATTTAAGCTTGGGTGATTATTAAAAAAAAAAACAGCTTCTCAATACAAATCCCATATATAAATAGAAGTGTGTTTTCAGCTTAGTTGGTGCTAAGAGTGTGTCTTTAAATAAATATTTTTTTTAAAGTGGGAACAAAATATTTACATATTTTATTCACTTAGTAAAATAATGTTATTTATTATTATTTATTGTTTTTCTTTTCACTATTTTATAATGTTTATTCAATATAATATCTGCAGATTTATAATTAAAAGAGCACTCCCACTTCCAAACAACTTCAGCTTATTTAAGTTGCTCTGGTGGTTGGAGTTTCCAGGAGTGTCTTACCCATTTTTCTAAAGTTTAACATTGAAGTTTGGACTTTGGGGCCTGACACTGTTGTCCCCACAGTTTCTGTTCTGCCTCCGCAGGGTGAGGAAGGTTTAGCTGGGAGGCAGGTGATTGGCTTAGAGCATCAGCTTACATACAATTTTTCTCAATGGTGGCTAGTGGTAGGTTAAGAGAGTCAGCTGATATTCTCGACCAATCACCAAGTGTCTGGCTAAACCTTGCTCAAACTGAGGAAGAGAAGAAGGTGGGCAGTCTTGTCAGGCGCCAGATATCCCAACTTCGGGGTTAAAGAGTTACTCCAACTACCATAACCACGTTAGTGGTTTGAAGTGGTAATAGTGGTAGGAGTATGTATAGGCAGTGTTTCAGTTTGAACCACTGCACATACTGAGTTATTTTTCATTGTGTGCTGAGGGCTAGTTGCACTCCCAGCATAAGTGACTAAGGCAGCCTGAAACTTTGTTCTGGGTTGACTAATATCAATTCTGTGCATATCTCATTCCCACAGCCCTTGCATGTGTGTCATTGCCTCCATCCCAGCCCCTCCATATGTGCCATTCCCTCCATCCCAGTAAGTAGTGTCTGTTTCTGTTGGTGTGTAAAGGACGCGTTGTGTGTTTCTGTGTGTGTAAGGAATGCATTGTGTGTCTGTTTGTGTAAGATATGCATATTGTGTGTGTGCAGGGATACATTGTGTGTTTCTGTGTGTGTGTGTGTATGTAGGGATGCATTGTGTGTGTGTGTGTGTAGGGATTCAGTATGCAGTGTGTATAGGGATTCAGTATGCAGTGTGTGTAGGGAATCAGGAAGCAGTGTGTGTAGGGTTGCAGTGTGTGTGTGTGTGTGTAGGGTTGCAGTGTGTGTGTGTGTGTGAAGGGATGCAGTGTGTGTGTGAGTGTGTAGGAATTCAGTATGCAGTGTGTGTGTGTAGGGATTTAGTATGCAGTGTAGAGATGCAGTGTGTGTGTGTGTGTGTGTATGGATGCAGATGTGTGTGTGTGTGTAGGGATGCAGTGTGTGTGTGTAAGAGCATGTTTTCTGGGTAGGATAGGGGCTGTGGGGGCTAAAGAGGGAGCATCTTTTTTATATCTATTTTGTAATGTAATTTAAAAACATTTATATATTTAATATATCTCCCCCTCCCTGTGTCCTACCAGTATCCAGGGAGGGGGCAGCATATTCCCTGGTAGTCCGGTGGTGCTGCAGAGGCTCTATACCTTCACCTCTGCCGGGTGAAGGCTCTTCCCGCGAGTCCCGGGACCAAGTGTAAGCGAGCATTGCCGTGGTTACCGCGGCAACACTCGGAAAGTCGGGACTCAGCACAGAGTTGAGGGCAGAGAGTCTCCTCCCCTTCCTGCTGTGCAAACTCTGCAAAGACCTAGGGATTGACATCAAAAGATCTTCCTGACCGGGTCTGTGTGCTTGTAAGGGGCCGGGCTCGCGAGGCCCTCAGGTGGCATGGGCCCCTTACAAGTGAAGTGGCTGTATCCCCCGACTGGCCCACGGTTGCAGGGATCGGATCATTGCTGTGGCCGGGCCCCCTGTAGTGACGGGCCAGGTCACAGTTGCGATCCCTTCGACCGTGGTAGGTACACCACTGGAGATAGCTATCTCCTCCCACCTTGTGGGTGCTCCCTCCCAGCTCCTTCCGTTCAGGAACTCAACCTCCACACTCTCCTCTTCCTCTACTTGCGCATGCACTTTGAGTCAGTGAATTGGTTCATTCACAGACTTCACTAGTGATTGATTAACCCTTTTTCCTGTATGTAGAAACAAAAAGAGATAAAATCTATCAGTCGTTGGTGAATCCACTAATCTCAACATTTTTTTTTTTGTGTGCTTGTTCTATATTAGTACTGGACACGACGACTTACCGGGCAATTATGGGTTTATGGATCAAGTTGCAGCTCTTCAGTGGATCCAAGAAAACATTAAAGATTTTGGAGGTGATCCAGAGTCTGTCACTATTTTTGGAGAATCTGCAGGTGGTTTGAGTACCTCTGCTTTGGTAAGTTTCTGCCACTCTCAATGACTTGTCAATGAATCTATCTCTTTACAGAATTTCTTTGATGCCCATCGTCATATCCAAAGTACAATCAATACACTAAAACAAACAATCATCATGTTATTATTTGCAATCATTCTTCTCCCTGCCTGTATTCTATTTCCAGGTGTTATCTCCCTTAGCCAAAGGCTTATTCCACAGGGCCATTGCGGAGAGTGGAACTGCCCTATTACGTAGCCTGATGGTCAGTGACCACAAAGAAATTATTTCCAGACGAAATGTGAGTATTCTTTCTCTTCCTCCTGTGAAATCCTACTCTCGTAATGAAATATTGTCTCTTTAGGGTCCTTTCCTATCAGAAAATACAAAGTTCTTCATTTGTAACCACATCTTCTCTGAAAAATAAACCCTTATGCCAAGCTTGACAATTCCAAACAATTCAGAGTTCATGCACATCCACCACATTTTCTGTAAACGGACACTCCAGGCAGCACAGCAACTACATCAAAAGGTCCCTGGGCACTGTCTTACCACCGGTAAAGAACAGTTTAACCCCAAAGACCTAAATCTGGCGCCAGTCAGCTGTTCCCACAAACTTCTGTTATAGTCTGATAACTGAAACAGGAAGCCTCGGACTGATAGCCGTTAAAAAAGCTTAGAGCACCAGCCACTCTGAGGCAGTTTAACCACTTGAGGTAAGCTCTCGCCTGAGGACCTCCTTGCACCATAACAACTTTATGAAGTTGTTATAGTGCCAGGAGTGTTCCTTTAACACATTCAGTTTTTTCACATTGAAGGTAAGCCATGAAAATGTAATGGACTCCATGAATTAATTTGCTCTGGCAGCAAGTGGATGCGGCTTACTAAAGTGTAGCATGTTTCATTTTACACTTTCAGTTAGAACTAAAATGAAAAACCAAGTATCTTAGTCACAAAACGCTGAATTGCAAAATGCAGTTGGATAATTTTTCCAAAATCAGCATTTTTATCTAAATTTAGGAATTGTTTTCATTTGACTGTATTTTTAGTGGTTATGGGAATAAGTCTCTGTGTGCTGTAACGGAGCTCATATTAACAGATGCTACATTGCAGAACTGTAAGGTCCAAAATGTACAAATATTTTGGGTTTTATTTCTCTCTCCAGACTCTGTATTGTCAGTGAGCGAGGGTCTGTGTCCTCCTCTAAGCAGAGCATATGAGGCTCCTGACACTGATTAAAACAGTTAGACAGACCAACTGCTGTCTGTAGAATAATCAGGGAACACAGCAGCTCACACTGGAAGGAACACAGCAGCTCACACTGGGGGGAACACAGCAACTCACACTGGGGGGAACATGGCAGCTCACACTGGGGGGAACACAGCAGCTCACACTGGAAGGAACACAGCAGCTCACACTGGGGGGAACACAGCAGCTCATACTGGAGGGAACACAGCAGCTCACACTGGAGGGAACACAGCAGCTCATACTGGGGGAACACAGCAGCTCATACTGGAGGGAACACAGCAGCTCATACTGGAGGGAACACAGCAGCTCATACTGGAGGGAACACAGCAGCTCATACTGGGGGGAACACAGTAGCTCACACTGGGGGGAACACAGCAGCTCACACTGGGGGGAACACAGCAGCTCACACTGGGGGGAACACAGCAGCTCACACTGGAGGGAACACAGCAGCTCACACTGGGGGGAACACAGCAGCTCACACTGGAGGGAACACAGCAGCTCACACTGGGGGAACACAGCAGCTCACACTGGAGGGAACACAGCAGCTCATACTGGAGGGAACACAGCAGCTCATACTGGAGGGAACACAGCAGCTCACACTGGAGGGAACACAGTAGCTCACACTGGGGGGAACACAGTAGCTCACACTGGGGGGAACACAGTAGCTCACACTGGGGGGAACACAGCAGCTCACACTGGGGGGAACACAGCAGCTCACACTGGGGGGAACACAGCAGCTCACACTGGAGGGAACACGGCAGCTCACACTGGAGGGAACACAACAGCTCACACTGGAGGGAACACAACAGCTCACACTGGAAGGAACACAGCAGCTCACACTGGAGGGAACTCAGCAGCTCACACTGGGGGGAACATGGCAGCTCATACTGGAAGGAACTCAGCAGCTCATACGGGAAGGAACTCAGCAGCTCACACTGGGGGGAACTCAGCAGCTCATACTGGGGGGAACACGGCAGCTCACACTGGGGGGAATACAGCAGCTCATACTGGAAGGAGAACAGCAGCTCACACTGGGGGGAACACAGTAGCTCACACTGGGGGGAACACAGTAGCTTACACTGGAGGGAACACAGTAGCTTACACTGGGGGGAACTCAGCAGCTCATACGGGAAGGAACTCAGCAGCTCATACGGGAAGGAACTCAGCAGCACACACTGGAAGGAACACGGCACCTCACATCACACTGGAGGGAACACAGTAGCTCATACTGGAAGGAACACAGCAGCTCACACTGGAGGGAAAATGGCAGCTACATTGGGGGAAACATGGCAGACCACACTAGAGAGACCACGTCATCTCACACTGGAGGGAACACGGCAGGTCACACTGAGGTAATATGGCAGCTCACACTGGATTTGGGCAATTAACCACAACCCCCTATCTGTTTTTCACAAAGAGGCTATGGCTATTATTACTGTTAGAAGCGCTGGATTAATATATGCAGTAACATAACACAAGGTTATTTTAGACAATCTAAAAAAAAAATCTAAATTCAATTTCTTTCAAAGAAAAATAATTTGACCTGAATATACTTTTATATAATGCAATGTTCCAGCATGTTCTTTTATAGACGGTCTCCTGACTGCGGCAATGTGATTCCCATGTGACAGTTGTTTGTGTCTGAACCATAAATAGGACAATTCATTTGCAGGACTGGACTTTTTGTTGAGTGCTATCTTTGTGTTTTTCAGTACGTTGCCAATAAATCCGGCTGTGATCCTGATACATTGGCGGAATGCTTGAAAAAGAAAACTGAAAAAGAAATCCTTTTGATTTCGGATTCCATGGTATGTTGTGTAACTACCCCAATTATTGTTTAAGGTAATCCCGCAATACAAAACGCTAGTTAGAATTATAACTCTTAAAGGGCTAGTCTGACCAAAATTAATGATTTAATTAAACCCTGTTTTTAGAGGTAATAAGTCTTGCTGGGAACCGCCGCTAGGTGATAGGTAGGAGGGGGCCCTGCAGCTGGGTGAAAGGGAGGAGGGGGCATTGTTTGTCTGATACCAGCATGCTATATGTGCTGTTGACAGGTGCCCAATGTATACAGAATTCACATTTGCCAGTCCCGAGCTTTCATTCTGGGCTGGCTAATGATGCTGATAAATAAATTGCTGAAAGGAAACATAAACTCACGTTAAATGTTAGAGCACAGAAATTTAAATGTACCCTAATCCTGGGAGAGGTGCATGCAAGTTCTGTTAGAAAATGAAGTTAGGCTGGATATCGTCCTCAATGCAAAAAAAAAGTTATGTATCATGCTTACTCCAGTACTCCTTCAGTGCATCTCTCTGTGCTGAAGTCACTGGGACTAATTTTTGGATATGCAGCTTACCATAAAAGCCTGTAGGGTGTTAAAAAGTCAGTATTTGGGAAGAAATCCTCAATATAGTACATACGGGTACCTGGTTTAAACAAGATGCCTGTACAATGCTGAGCATTGCAGGTTGCTTTTGCAGCCTGCATAGAAGCTCTGTAGTGGGCGCACACCTCTCCTTTCTACCCTCACTGCTTACTGGAATGCAGTCAATATAACTAAAACAGCAGTAAATACAAAAAAATATTGTGCTGAGCATAGAGAATACAACGTTGCTGTGTTCAGATAAATGTAACATTAAAAACTGTTACAAATTATATTTGCCTTGTGTACAGGGACTTTTAGATGTACCTGGATGTGTAGATGGGGTGTTTCTACCCAAACCTCCAGAAGAGATTATGGCGAATAAACAGAGCAATAATGTTCCCTTCATGATTGGCACCAATAACCAAGAGTTTGGCTGGCTAATATTTCAGGTAAGAAATCTATTTGTCCTGTACTGAAATAATATTTTTTATTAAAAGACACATAGAATCAGATTGTGTTTTGTAACAAACGTCTCGAAGTAAGAAAACCATTCCAGGCACACAACATTAATATAAGACTAAACTTTCTTCAGCTATAAGGTTTTAAACAGATCAGAAGTACTTGCAAGGTTCAGATGCAGTAACAGAATCTTGAATTATTATTGTTCTTCTGTGACCAGATGATCAACATGAGCGGTTTTCAAGATGGGATGGATAAAGAAACAGTCCGGTCACTACTGGAATCCTTTCACTTTTTGGTAAGTCCCATATCCTATCTCTATGCACATTGACGGTGACCTCAGTTATGTGTAACAAATACCCGATGGGTTAATAAAAATCTAAAATGTATTTTTCCAAATGTCTCCTTGGGTATTTTTTTTTTTTCCAATTCTTTATTTTTATTGTGCATATATGAATAGCATGCGTGCAGAGCCACAACAGCAACTGCAAGAGTTGTCATAGCCTTTCCGAGTGTGGCAGTTTGAACAGCACTTTTTTATATAACATGGAGAACATGACTGCAATATTTTATAGTAAACATGCTAGACTCGATATTATGCATATGTTAAGTTATGCTTAAAGTTATGGTAAGGTGTGTAGCATAGCATTTGAGGAAGAGATTTTTATGTTTGAGCCAATGATAGCTTGGTGTTAAATGTAAATTTAAACCAACAGTATTTCCGCAAATTTTAACATGCTTGGGCTGCCCCATTAGTTGTCCTAGCTGATAACACAATGCATGAGCTGTTAAAATAAACTCAGGTAAGAAGTAAGCACAAAAACTCTGCGCAAAATAAAAGAATAACAGGTTAAAGACTATTACTGTGCTGTGCGTTAAGCTAGTGTGCGGAGAACAGTTCTTGTATTAGGGGGCATGGTGAGGAAGTCCAGCTGCGGTGAAATATGCCTGGCAGACTCCGGTTCTGTGCCTCTGTTCACCCGATCCCCTCTGGGTGCCAGCTACAGTCCCCCAGAACCCTTGTCACCTGGAGTGTCGGAGGCATGAAGATGAGTAGGTGCTAGGCGTCCAGCAGGTGTTGGCGGAGGTTTACATTGTCGGGGGGTCGGTTCTGCCCTGCTGGGCAAGGTTACAAGAGATCTGCAACTTTCATAAGCTATTTTTAAATATACCCCAAAAGAACAAATCCATAATGCATGATTTAATTGGAGTATATCTACTTAATAGTAATTTAAATTTTGTAAAAATATATATATTTTTTGTATTTGGGCAGTGAAGTGTAACATTAAAGTGTGCAATGTTATTTCCTACTAAAATAAATGAAAGTGTATGTGCTTTGTAAAGCTCATGCGCATTAGCTGTCATTTCCCATTCTCTGCTGCGTCTACTTCCAGTAATAGGAGTTGGAGAATTGCTTTCCATGAAGGATTCAGGTAATTCCAGACAAAACACCACCAAGTGGTGACAAACATGTATTACAACAGGCAGAGTCTGGGCTTGGGGACGAGTCTTCCAGCGTACGTCTACAGGAATCACAAGTCCAGGAAGCAGAAGAGGGTATTCATGTTACGTTACAGCCAGAAGAAAAAGAGAAAACAAATAAATGTTATAATTTTATTTACAAACCTTGTATTCTTTGACAGAAAAATCCACCCCTTTAGTCACATGGGAATATATTGGGAGAGTTTTATTGTTGAATCACTGACTGATACATTTCATGAACGGCCAATGTAACAATATTATGAAAAATGTAATCTTAAATATCACAGGAATTGACTGAAAAAGCCATCCCTTTGGTAATGGAGGAATATTTTGTGGACACAAGTGATACTTCTGTAATCCGAGACCGATTCCTGGATTTGATTGGTGATATAATGATTGTTATACCAGCTATCAAGACAGCAAAATATCACAGAGGTTGGTAATACAAAGCTTTCTCCTGGGAACTTGGCAAAATTAGTTAACATAAAATCAAGTTAAAGGACCACTATAGGCACCCAGACCACTTCAGGTCAATGAAGTGGTCTAGGTGCCAGGCCCATCTAGGATTAACCCTGCCTGCTGAAAAACATAGCAGTGTCAGAAAAACTGCTAGGTTTATAAATGGGTTAATCCAGTCTCTAGTGGCTGTCTCATTGACAGCCGCTAGAGGCGCTTCCGCGCTTCTCACTGTGATTTTTACAGTGAGAAGATGCTAGCGTCCATGGGAAAGCATTGAGAATGCTTTCCTATGAGACTGACTGAATGTGCGCGCGGCTCTTGCCGCGCATGCGCATTCAGCCAATGACGGCAGAAGGAGGAGGAGATTCCCCAGCGACGAGGGAGCCCGGTACTGGAAAAAGGTAGGAATTTAACCCATTCTATATCCTAGAGCCCAGCGGGAGGGGGACCCAGAGGGTGAGGGGGACCTAAGGACCCTATAGAGCCAGGAAAACGAGTATGTTTTCCTGGCACTATAGTGGTCCTTTAATGTATCCACACTAGGTACACAATATAGGGCACCGCAGTCACACTTGTGGTGTTATAGTTACCGCTCAATAGATGGTAAATTGCATGTAAAGAAAAGTAATGGCATAATAAGACATCTATCTTAATTGTCAGACACTTATTGTAGCCTCAGATAGGTGATGTGCATGGGCAAAAAATTTGGTTTGGTTTGGTTCGGAAATTCGGGTAAGTAAAAATAATTTAGAACAGAAAACGAGAGAAAAGGTGCGCCTTTAATGTAAATATATTGTAAAAAATAAAATAGTATAGTCCAGATAACTTAGCAATAGTCCAGAATAGTAGAGTCCACAATGGAAAGGAAAATTCTTGCAGAGCAGCAGTGATTCATCACGGGTGTAGACTTGTAATTTTAGTGGAACATATGGAAAAGAAGCAGAAAAGGGAAATCCAATGGTGCAGTATGTAAATATACTTGGATATTAAAAAATTATAAGTAGGTTCTACTCACAATTTCCAGAGCTACAATCCAGCTCTGGTATGAAGGGCGTGAAGTGGAATGATCCCCACTCAAGGATATATTGAGTATAACTCAAAATATAGTAGTCCAACGGCGGTATGGTTAAAAAGAATAAAAAGAAAAGAATAAAAAGAATGAAATATATAATGCTCACTGTATATCACTGTAGTAAAAGAGTAAAAAAAATATGAAATGTACTCACAATATATTGAGCAGACTCACTGCTCGATGTATAGCGTATGGGTGGTACAATCCCCACCTATGGATTCTTTTGGCGTCTCTTTGGATGGTAAAAAACAATGTAGTCAGGCTAAGGATAAAATAATATAAATAAAACGATAAAATAAAAAAGGAAAGTGGCAACCAAAATATTTAGAGCCAAAATCCCTTTATTATAACAAAATATAAACTTATTAAAAACTATTTCTAGACGCGTTTCGCCTACAACAGGCTTCTTCAAGTAGAAAATAGTAAAGACATAGACCTGACATACATAGCTTTATATAGGGTACATTAGTTGTATTGGAATTTAAATGTTCCCGCCAAAATGACGTCATTATGACCTTAATTAAAAAGTACATTTCAAAAACAAACAATAATTATACACACCATATTTAAATACAAGAGGGAGAATATTTGTACATATAAATATTAAAAACTAGGTGCTAATATGTTAAAAACTATAAAGTAAAAATCACGTGACTGATTCGCTTCCGCGTCACGTTGTTAACAATGGAACGCATGCGTCACGTACGGGTGAGACGCATGCGTATGGGAAGTAAGACTGGGGTGGAGCTGGCACATAGAGAGCATTACGTCATCAAAGGGGCGGAGCCCCATGGTGACCGTGATGCAAACTAAGTGTGCGCTAATGTGCTGTCTGCTCAGATGGTAGAACAGACAGCACACACACGCAATGCCCGAACGGGCCCTGGGATCAGGACCCGAAGGGGGAGCCCATAACACGGATAGGCTCCTATTAAAACAGAGTAAGGGGCCAGACTCCACACCACCAGGATTACACTACAGTGGTACAAAATTACTCATTATCATATTAAAAAAACAGAACAGAGAAACATATCATAAACTTTATATATATATATACGTACTAAAAACTAGTGAAGACATTTTTTTATTTTTTTTTTATTCAAAAAAACTTCCCATTAAGCAGATATAAGACCAATGAATATATATGTATTATAAACATATGATTGTTAAAATAAATAAATAAGATATACAATACAAAATAAAAATAGATACAAAACAAAGGAAAGCAATTCTTTGATATAAGACCATAGGGAAATAAACAACTTATATAGATATATGTAAAAAAAAAAAAAAAAAGAACTAAACAAGACTAATAAAAGATAGAAAAAAGGAACTTATAAAAAGTTAAAAAGGTCGACATCTATATTTAGACCCTGTGGAGCAAGAGTCTTTCAATGAAAAACCCATTCCATTTCTTTGCTACCTAAAATCTTTTTTATGTCTCCACCTCTCCAAGGGACACTACAGGTATCTATACCTACCTATGCATTTGAGGAATTTAGTTTTTTTTTCATGTTTTAAAAAATGCTTTGATACTGAATGGTTCTCATAACCTTTTAAAATGTTCTGGCAGTGTTCAGCCAATCTGGTTTTTAAGTCCCTAGTGGTCATGCCCATGTATTGAAGCCCGCATGGGCATTCTGATAAATAAATTACATTCTTTGTACTACAATGAATAACATTTTTTATAGGGTATGTTCTTTGTGTGATAGATGATTTGAAAAAAGTGGTTTTTGATTTAATAGTATCATCCGTACGTTTGCACACTATGCATTTATTACATTTAAAAAAAACTTTTGGTTTAGTTAAAAAGGAGGGGGGGGGGGCAAGAGGAAGAGGTAGTATAATTTTGTTTAGTGTAATTTTTTTGTGAGGATGGATTTAAAGCTGGGTGCCCCTCTAAATATAACATGCTGTTTATTGGGGATAATACCAGCTAGTGTATCATCCTGTTTTAATATATGCCAATGTTTGTTGATAATCTTCTTCATAACATTGCCTTTGTTATTAAAGTCGAAGATAATTGGCAATGATGGAGCATTTTTGGAAATTCTGTTGTCTCTATATCAGTGGCGTACTAAGGGGGGGCGGAGGGGGCGGTCCGCCCCGGGTGCCACCAGGGTGGGGGGTGCCATGACCAGCCCCGCCGCCCCCCCCTCCATGCTGCAGCCGCCCGAGCGCTCTGCAGAGAGCCTCGGGCGGCTGCAGCTTTGCCCGGGTGGTGCGTCCATGAGGGCGGACCGCACCGCCCTGGCGCAGCCTGAGGAGAGGCTGACAGGAGGGAAGCGCTCAGCGCTGAGCGCTCCATCCTGTCAGCTTCCTTTCCTGTAGCGTGGCCGAGCCCTGTATAGTCCGCGGGTAAAGGGAGCAGCTGTCTCCTGTACCCGGCCGTACTAACAGGAAGTGCACACAGTGCACACAGTGTGTGCACTTCCTGTTAGTCCGGCCGGGTACAGGAAACAAAAGCTACCTGTACCCGCCGACTATATAGGGCTCGGCCACGCTACAGCAAAAGGGAGGGGATGATAAAGATGGGGTGAGAGGAGAAAGGGGGTGAAGAGAAATGAGGGGAGAGAAAAGAGAAAAGAAAGGGGGTGAGAGAAAGAGGGGAGAAAGAGAAAGGGGGTGAGAGAGAAATAAGAGGGGGGGGTGAGAGAAAGGAGGGGTGGTAATTATGGGGGGTGTATTAATTATGGGGGGTATTAATTAAGGGGGGAATTAATTATGGGTAGTGGATTAATTAAGGGGGGGTGGATTAATTAAGTGGGGTGTATTAATTAAGGGGGGATGGATTAATTATGGGGGGTGGATTAATTATGGGGGAGTGGATTAATTAAGGGGGTGGATTAATTAGTGTGGATTAATTAAGGGTGTGTGTATCAATTAAGGGGGGTGGATGAATTAGTGTGGATTAATTAAGGGGTATGGATTAATTAAGGGGTATGGATTAATTAAAGAAAACCTTTAACATTTTACATGTTTTTTTTTTTTTTGGGGGTGGGGGGTGCCAAGCACAGGATCCGCCCCGGGTGCCAAATGCTCTAGGTACGCCCCTGCTCTATATTCTAAGAGTTCCGATCTGTCTTTTTCACTAATGTTTTTTATAGTTTGGTTTCAATTATTCATAGGGTAGTTTTTTTGAGAGAATTTATTTAATAGCATCTGGGATTGAGCCTCAAAATCTTGGGTAAGAGAACAATTCCTTCGAAGGCGGAGGAACTGACTTTTGGGTATTCCATGAAGCCAAGGTTTATAATGGCAACTAGACATATCAATCACTTTATTTGTACACACTTTTTAAAAAAAGGTTTTTGTATGTAACTTATTATTTTGAATAAAAATTTCTAAATCTAAAAAATGAATAAGAGATAGACTGTATTCACATGTTAAAACTATACCGCTATTATTTTGATTTAAAAAAAGTAAAAACTCATTGAGGGAGTTTTCAGTGCCCTCCCAAATAAAAAATAAATCATCGATATATCTAAAATATGTGACCAGGTTTGCCTGCCAGTCATGCTCTCCCAAAATGGCCGTGGCTTCCCACTCTGCCATAAAAAGGTTAGCATAACTGGGGGCAAACCTGGACCCCATAGCCGTTGTGACGAGACCAATCTCACCACTGTGCATTGAAAGAGCCTGGTTGCCCGCCTGCTGCCTTTAGACTATGGCCCCATGTTGAAACGCTTGATTTTCCCCTGCAAAGACACGAAAGCCAGGTCATTTGGTGCTTGCCCTGTTTGAGCGGTGATACCCCAGATAGCTATGCCATGGAGCTCATTCGTATAATGAAAGAATATGGGAAAGACTTTGGCTCCATGGCAATTGAACTGTATGTGTGTGATCTGAGCGCCATTCAGTAATAATGTGCGCTGAGATCTGAGCTATCTGGGGATATGTTGAATGTACCTGTTTTATGCAATGGCTGCACATTTATATATTTTTATGTATTTTATTGTCTTTTGCTGCTATGTGTTCAATGGAGTTTTGCCTCTGTCCTTGGAGACAATTGGATTACTTCCCAATTATCTCCAGGATAGAAGATTCTGTGGAACTGGTTTTGGGCAGAAAAAACATGCTTCATTTGGTCATAAAGGACTACGATCTATCTTTTGACCGACTGGACCAATTTGTATGATTTTGACGTATGTTTGTATTTGGAGTATGCTGATTCTGAAAATGTAAGTTTTATGTGAATGTGATGCATACTTTTAAAATTATGAATAATGTGGAAAAACTGTATTTCTCTGCCTGTGATAATTACATTACCCATTGTGTAAGGTAATTGTATCACAGGCAGAGGGAAGGATTTTGTGTGGGAGTGTCTGAGTGTATTGTACGTGTTAATTGGTTGTTTTCCTAAACCCTCTGGGTGGTACTAATGTGTAAGAATGTGTATATAAGAACAATAAACCCACAGCTCTGTCTGTTCACTGCTTGACCCTCAACACGGAGCTTTGTCTCGTTCTTGGGGGGATTTATTGTATGCTGTTCCAGTTCGACTGCGTGTAAACCTTTCATTTGTTTTTTCCTATTCGGCTGTTTACAGCATTCGTATGGTTCCGGTTCGGCTGTTTACGGCATTCATATGGTTTCCTGTTCGGCTGGATTGGTGTCTACAGTAGCTGCCTGTATATCTGGAAGGGAATATCTCCTAAATGGCTGTTAATCCCTTGTATGCCTGGGGGTGCCATTACAATTGGTGGCAAGCGGCGGGATCGTTCCTACAGCCAGAAGGACAGCTACAAAGAGACACAATTCACTGGATTTACAAATTGAGGGCAACGCATGTCCCAGTACAGCGACCCTGACAGCACCAGGATGGAACCAGCAGTGGAGTACAGCTACTCTTTAGAGGAGTTTGACCGTATGATGTGGTTGCGGCTGAACTTCTACGGACCCAATCCACCTGAGAAATCTGTGAAGTTCGTGAGGAGCCTAGTGTTCAAGACCACTGCTTAACCTTCAACACGGAGCCTTGTCTTGTTCTTGGGGGGATTTACTGTATGCTGTTAGAGACTGATTGCTAGGAGTGTAAGCCGCTTGGGTGCTTTTCCTATTCGTCTGCTAGCAGCTATTCGTGAGGTTCCAGTTCAGGAGTTTGGAGTGACTTTTTGTATGCAGTTCGGGAGTTTGGAGCATTCCCTTGTATTCAGTTCGTGAGTTTGGTGTTCTGCAGTAGCTGTGCCTGTATCTCTGGAAGGGGAAGATCTTCTAAACGACGTTTAACCCCTTTTATGCCTTGGGGTGCCGTTACAGCCGTCCCTTGTTTTTGTAAATAAAATGAATCTAAAAGCCAGAAATAATTATTTTTAAAAATAATATTTATACCTTGGATGATAAAACGTATCTGTTGGTCTGAAATCTTGTTTTCAGCCCTTAAAATTTTCTCAACTGCCGAACAACCTTTATCATGAGGAATGATTGTGTATAAGGATTGTACGTCACATGTAACTAAAAAATATGTATCCTTCCAAATAAAATTATTTAAAAACCGGAGTAGGGTCATTGAATCTTTTAAGTATGATTTCATACATTTTACTGAAGGTTGTAAAAGAATGTCCAAGTATTCGGATAGATTAGATAAAATTGAATTAATCCCTGATACAATAGGCCTACCAGGAGGGTTTACAGCATTTTTATGAATTTTCAGTAGGAAGTAGATAACAGGGATTTTTTGGTGGGAAACATTTAGGAATTCAAATTCTTGTTTATTTAAAATATTTTGGTCTCGGCCACTGTTTAAGAAGGAAATTAAAACCTGTTGAATTCTTGAGGTGGGGTCTTGTGATAATTTTTTGTAAACCTTACAGTCGTTAAGTTGTCTCATAGCTTCTCCCATATACATATCTTTAGACAGTATTACAATACCTCCACCTTTATCAGCCGGCTTTATAACAATACTTTCATCCTTTTGCAATTGTAAAAGTGCTTTTCGTTTTAGTTGTGTGAGGTTATCGTGATTAAATTTTTCTTTTTTGATTTTTTTCAAAATCTTTTGTAACCAATTTTCCAAAGACTTCTAAGGGACCTGTTTTAAAACTAGATGGAAAAATGTAGAATTTTTGTCTAATGCCCATTTACAGCATTCCTAGGGATAGGACACTGATTGGTTAGATCAAAGTCCGATCCTGGAGTAGGTGAGACACAGAAAGAGCAGATCTCGGAGAATAATCATATTAACTGCTTTTTTTCAGCCAGCAGAGTGAGGAAACTGTCTCATTTAATGATAAAGCTTGTGAACGAGACAGTTTCAAAGTGATTCATGCCACTTAAAGGATAAAACTAAAAGGAACATTAAACCTTAACTCAGGTCATATGGGCAATATATACAGTAGTTGTATCACAGTCCTTGCGTAATACTAAATGGGGGAGACTTATCATAGTGTCACAGGCCGTTTTACGCCCCATTTTCTGCAAACTGTTGGCACAATTTATTAAATCTGTTTTTTTTTTTTCATCTGTTGCTTCATTTGTGCTCTCATCATAATTTTTGAATACATGACTTGATATTTTCCTTGATGCAATGGAATTATCAATCTTTCTTCCACTTTTTCCAATTTTTTATTTTTTTATTTCTCAATTTGTAGAGTCTGGATATCCAGTTTATTTCTATGAATTCCTGCATCCATTAGCCGTTGCGAAGAATACAAGGCCAGACTATGTTAAATCAGATCATGGGGACGAACTTTACTATGTTATGGGAGCCCCATTCCTTCATTCTGATGCCTCCGCCAAAGGTAAATCACGATTATTTTGTGACATTCATTATTATTTTTTATATAGAGTAACATATTCCATAGTACTTTACTATGGGGATATAAAAAAACTGAGAAAAATAACAAAACAGGCTAGAGTGATTCATAAACAAGTAAAGGCATTGGTTCGGCTCCAAGATACTTCTTTTTTTTGTTTTTTAAAGGGACACTACAGGCACCAAACCAGCCTTTGCTTAGTGAAGCAATTGTGGTGTATAGATTATGCCCCTGCAGTCTCACTGCTCAATTATCTGCCATTTAGGAGTTAAATCACTTTGTTTATACAGCTTTTGTCACACCTCACTGCATGTGACTTACACAGCCTTCCTAAACACTTCCTGTAAAGAGAGATCTAATGTTCAAACTTCATGTATTGCACAGTCTGTTTAATTTAGTATTAGTATTACAGTTCACATATTCCATAGTACTTTACTATGAGGATATATATAAAATAATAATAATAACAAAACAGGTTAAAGTGATTACTAACCAATACAAGCATTGGTTTATTTCTGATATTCTACATTTTATGTTTTTCAAGCTTCTGTGTGTTTGCATGGCTATCATTTTCCTTTTTTTCCCTTCAAGATGGTACAACAGAGGGCGAAATGAATCTGAGCAAAACAATGATGAAATATTGGGCCAACTTTGCTCGAAATGGGTAAGACATGATGTTTCCATATATATTTAAAAAAACTTTTGTGATTTGAAGTGGTCATGGTGGTAGGAGTATGTATATGCAGTATTTCAGCTTGAAACATTACACATGCAGATTTATTGTTATTTGTGTGCTGGGGGCTAGTTGCAGGCTGCCAATGTCAGTTCTGTGCATATTTTGCGTCAGTAGTCAGCGCACACTGTGCTGGTGACAGAAGTGCTAATCTTCCTACTTGCAGGCAGAGTGCCTGTAAGGGGAAGATATATTTTCCCTTCCTCCCTCTGGGCGCTCCCTCCACGTCTTGAATGGCTTTTAAAAATGTTTTTAAATTAAAATTACCATGCCTTTTTCCCATCTCCTCCCCTCCCCTTGTTGGCTCAGATTGCACGCATTTGCTCTGAGCCTGTGAATTGGTCCAATCACAGGCCTCTCTGTGAAATGCCTGTGATTGGACCATGCAAGGCCCATATGACATCAGACGGATTGCGTGGAAATCAGCGCGGGGATATTCGCCCTGCCCTGGATTCCAGGTAAGTAAACACTTTATTTTTTAAAGGTTTATGGAAAACAGAGGGTGGGTGGGGAGCTCAGTAGGGCATGTTACATAGAATAGGTACTTATCTCAACAAGGTTAAAGTATCTCTTTGGAGATAAACTGTCACATTTCTTTATGACATCACTGACTAAAACATCGAGAATCACCTGTATCTTTTATTCATACAGAGCTCTATTTTCTGTTACATAGTTACATAGCTGAAAAGAGACTTGCGTCCATCAAGTTCAGCCTTCCTCACATTTGTTTTTGCTGTTGATCCAAAAGAAGGCAAAAAAAAAAACAGTTTGAAGCACTTCCAATTTTGTAACAAACTAGGAAAAAAATTCCTTCTTGACCCCAGAATGGCAGTCAGATTTATCCTTGGATCAAGCAATTATTACCCTACATTGAAAAATTATATCCTTGAATATTCTGTTTTTGCAAGTATGCATCTAGTTGCTGTTTAAACATCTGTATGGACTCTTATAAAACCACTTCTTCAGGCAGAGAATTCCACATCCTTATTGTTCTTACAGTAAAAAAACCTTTCCTTTGCCTTAGACGAAATCTTTCTTCTTCCAGTCTAAACGCATGACCTCGTGTCCTATGTAAAGTCCGGTGTTTTGGCCCTGAATATATTTGTATAATGTTATCATATCCCCTCTCAGGCAACGTTTTTCTAAACTAAATAGGTCTAAATTTGTTAACCTTTCTTCATAGCTGATATGTTCCATTCCTTTTATTAATTTTGTAGCCCGTCTATGCACTTTTTCTAGTGCCATAATATCCTTCTTTAGAACAGGTGCCCAAAATTGCACAGCATATTTAATATGTGGTCTTGCCAGTGATTTATAAAGAGGCAAAATGATATTCTCACCCCGAGAATGAATGCCCTTTTTCATGCATGACAATACCTTACTGGCCTTGGCCACTGCTGACTGACATTGCACATTGTTGCATAATTTGTTGTCTATAACAATTCCCAAGTCTTTTTCATGTGTTGCTATCCCTAATTCGCTTCCATTAAGGGTATACATTGCGTGTGCATTCTTTACGCCGAAGTGCATAACTTTGCATTTTTCAACATTAAATTTAATCTGCCACTTTAGTGCCCAGTCCCCCAGTCTATCTAAATCCCTCTGCAGCAAAGTAATATCTTGCTCACATTGTATTATTTTACAGAGTTTTGCGTCATCTGCAAACACTGAAGCATGACTTTCAATGTTGTCTTCGAGATCATTTATAAATATGTTAAATAGAAGTGAATGTTAAAGTTAAATGTATATTAAAGATTTAGTAACTAACATCACAATCCAGTTGAGTTTTGGCACAGCAAGAGCATACGTTGGATTGGAGAAGCAGAAACCAGACCATTGGTGAAGATTTACCAAAGTGTAGGGTTCTAAAAATATTTTATAAAGTCAGAATCATCATTAATGCAAGCTTAATGCGCAATGATTGGTTTCCATGGTGATTGTCCCACTTTTAGATTTTGAACCATTTTTCAGAACAGGGCGTAGTATTTGTTTCTCCTCCTCGCTCTCTTTGCTGTCTGCCAGGTGCAGAGATTTTAATAATGATTGACAGAGCCAAGATGGAGACGATCGGTGCCAACATAGAAGTAAAGAGAGCTGTGTGGATTTCTACATTGAATTGCTTTTCAAACCTCACAAACATATTTGTTAGCTATAGGGGATAATTAAATCAAATATTGAAAATCCTCTGATGTAGTCAAATATTTGCCAGGAAAAAAAACATCTCAACTCTCGCCCTTTGTTTTGTAATACATTAGCTGGGATACACTTGTGACTTAAAAAAAAAGAAAAAGAAATGAAATGTAATCGGAAAATAAAGTGAGCCAAAAGGCACAGTGAGGAATATTTTTGGGGGGGAATAGTGAAATATACAAGAAAATCATTAGATTGCTAAATGGAAGCACAACAGTTTGTATACATAACATCTATGTCATGGGTTGGCTAAAGAATCCTCAGCAAGGTGAGAGGCAGCGACCTAACAAAGACAGAGGGCAGGAAGAGGCGTATTGCCGGACCTTAGCGTGTCTTGCTAACGTAAAGGTAGAACTATAAAACAACAAGACCAGACTAAGAGAAGGCTACAAACCAGGAGAGGAACAAAATACTAATAAATGCAAAATACACAGTACCAGACACACCTGTCATGTATTCATCCGCTTATAAAAAGGTGATTAATGGAATTTACTGTTCAGACAGGAAAAGTTGTGCCGAACAACATTACTGTCCTGACAGGAAAAGTTGTGCCGAGCAGCAATCAAATCCACAGGAGGGTTTGTGCTGAGCAGCAATTATGCAAATAGGAACCTGGTAACTGCCTTTGGGGTCAAATGCCGGTTACAACCAATCGGATCCACAGGCGGGGTATTTAGGTCCACTTCTCCTCTTGCTCAGTGCCCTTTCGTTGTTTCGTGGTTTTCCGAGAGCGCATTATTTGACTTTGGCATTGATTTTGACTTCCCTGTTTTCTGGCATCCATGACCCCTGGCTTTTCCTTATCGTTTTGTCTCTTTGTGTGTCCTTCGACGTCGACTATTCCTGACTATTCTTTGGTACGTTAGTCCGGACATTTTAAGGTCCGGAAACGTTACCTATCAGTCCTCTGTGTTACCCTCCGTTTACACACAGTCTTTTATTAACTAGTTTTTGTCTTCTGATCCACAGAGATCCCAACGGACCAGGTCTTGTAAAATGGCCAAGATATCAAGAAAATGAAGCCTACATGCAACTTGACTTGGAGCAGAAACCCTCAGAAAAGTATAAAGCAGACAAGTTTGTTTTCTGGACCAAGACTCTTCCAGAGACCATTCAAAAGATGTCAGAGGAAAAAAGAGAACTGTAGATTTGTATAGATCATCATAGCTATCAACCAAAAATGGTTAAGACAATCACTGCTAAGTATCTCAAGGTCTGTCTAACTTGTGTTTGTCTCCACCTCCGGATCAGTCCTCAAGGATCTGTCATTTAGCAATCAGTCAATTCTGCTCCAGCCAGGAGCACTGACAAAATAATGGCCAATTCTATCTCATTTCTGCAAAATACATTCTCTTTCAAGCCGCTGTAAAATGACTATTCATCAGAAACCAGGCAAGCTCTCAACTAATGGTTTGATGTCACCTTGAATCACTAAAACTGGTTTAAGTTATGTAAGGTAATTTATAAAAGTGCCAATTTAATTTTTGACCGTCTTTATTTGTACATTTTAAAAGATGATAACCGTACAGTACTACTCAAACTTGGCATCAACACTGCACAGATCACGATATGAAACCAAAACTTGTAAATCGTTCAACTTATACAATAGAAGGGATACATGAGCATAAACCAGAAATAAAGGAGCATAACACAATATGTGTATGAGTTATTAAAGAATCTGAGAGTAACAGAGGGACAGCGAATAAATAGCCCATGATGTGGGCTCTAATTACCGCAACGTGTGTGTAACGGAGTCTTACCTGATAGGGAGTCCAGCTCGCAGAGTTATACGCTCACCCTTGCAAAGTAGACACAGACCAAGGTGACCAGGTAAGACGCCACCTGGCCTGTGAGTCTGTGCACAGGAAAAGTGCTCCAAGACTCAGTACAGCAGGGATAAGCAGAAGCGTGGTCAAGGGAAGCCAAAATCAGGGAAGCCAGAGGTCAGAGTAGTCCAGGAGGAAAGCCAAGGTCAGAAGCCGGAATAGACAAGAATCACTGGAACGCAGGTACAGAGTAACAGGAACCAAACAAGAGAACCAGAGTCAATGAACTGACACCCCTCCCAGGGTGAGGCAGGCTTTTATATCCTGTTAATTAGGTATCAGATTCAGCTGGAGAGTTACTGACAGATCTGAGCCTTTGGTGAAGTCCAGCCCCCTAGTGCTGCAGGCAATACAAGAATAAACAGGAGTTATCCAAAGTCCTGAAATGGCTCAGAGGGAAAATAGTAGGATACGGTGTAGAACAACCGCAGTTCAAATCCCCTATCGGGCGCTTCCGGAGCGACCACGTCTGGCAGACTGGATGTCATGGCGTGAACCGTGACAGTGTGCCCCATATGTGGAAAAGACAGAGGGAGGAAAAAAGTGTTGGAGGGTTGGCGAGTACATCTCAAATTCCTAGTGTCATTGTCCTCTAGGTCACTGCAGTCGAGCAAGACATATAGTCCAACCAGGGCATCCAGGTAAGTACACATTTATCAGAGGTTCATTTAAGGGCAGTAGTCATCAATTCCATGTTATAAATTCCCTCAACACTATAAACCCTTTGCTGGAAGGATGGCTTCCCCGGTTGTTTCCACATGGTATATACCAGGGTCTTAGCAACCTCTAAACAGGCGTAGGCAACCTTCGGCACTCCAAATGTTTTGGACTACACCTCCCATGATTCTTTACCAGCATTATGGGGGTAAGAGCATTATTGGGGGATGTAGTTCACAACATCTGGAGTGCCAAAGGTTGCCTATCCCTGTTCTAGAAGGTGCTTCGTTAAAGATTTCTTGTAGGATGCCACTGGTGACCGTTTATGATGTAGGAGCATCTGCAAGGCTTAGAATTCGAGGTCAGGATTAGAGAGCTCGCAGTTTTTTGGGTGAACTAATCTCCCTAAAAGGAGCGATAATTGGGCAAGGCTACCAGATATGCAGTCCAGACCCATCTTTCCCCCACATCTCAAACACTCTCCTGGAATATCGCTATTGATATGGTGGAGCACATCTGGTGTTCTGTACCACTTTGTCAGATTTTATAGCATGTCTCCTGTACTTTTGAGCTGATGGAATGTTTGTGTGTTAGAGTATAAATCTTGTCCCACTCCTGGTCTATAAGTGTCACTCCTGTCTCTTCCTCCAACCATATGAGAAATTTAGGGGGGGCTCTATCACCACAAGTGAGCTGCATTTGGTAAAGAGGTGATACACCTCGAGAGAGGTGTTTCTTAACCGAACATAGGGTTTCGAACTGTGTAAGGTCTCTATGTATGAGACGTTTGCTCTTTAAAGTAGCATAATACGTTTTCTGCCAGAAGTAGCCAGTCTGAGATTTGGAAGCCGTGTTAGTCAGTCAGCGTAAGGCCACCTGCGAGGTCTGCATTATGCATGATGGGTGTCAATGGGTTGGGGTTTGTAGTTAGCTGAGAGGAGAACCATATGGAACATCATACCCGTATGGTGCCATCGGTTAAGTTGTTGCCAGCCTTCATCTTGTAATACTGCAGGCCCCAAACCAAAGCTGAAATGGGAGTTGGCCATCCGTCAGCCCAAACTCTAGGTCAACCAAAGTTTCTGAGATGAGCGGACATATAAAAAAGTGCCAATTTCTATTAAAATCAGCACTTATTTGTAAATTGAAAAAAAGGAGGACACACTCTTCATACATAAAGCAAGCTAAAGTTCTTTAGGCGCCCCGAATGTCCTTTTAAAGTTGGCATTTATTGTATAAATAAAGATAAAGTTATATTTTGTAAACTATGATAAAGTCAGGCATGTAATTAAAACTAAAGGCTGACATGTAAAGGCTGGTATGTGATGTTTGTTAGGGTTAAGATTGGCATGTATTTAATGGGAGGTTTAAGACTGGCATGTACTGAATGTGAAGGTTAAATCTTTATTGTAAACATTCAGTTTTTCCCATTGTATTTACTTCTGTACAAATTGCTTATAATCCTATAAACTGATGTCCCTCTTCCCAATTTAACTAAATATTGGGAATGTGATTTACAAATCTCCCTGGACAGTGCTCAGTGGGATCACATTTTCCTACTCGCCCACAAGTCATCCATTGGTACCCAATATCTGAGGAAAAAGATGTCTTTGAACAGATGGGAGCTTATTTGCTTAATTTCAACAAAGATCAATGGAACTTACATTTCAGATTTTTGAGAAGTTTGAGGATCTGTATCACAAACATCTATTTTTTTATTCCCCCCCCCCCAAAACAGGAGGAGTATATGGCAACCTAAACTCACAAAGTGCAGCGAGCCAGTAGACTAGGCTAGGTTTTCCATAAGACGCTTGTTGTGCATTAGACACTTGCGCTATTTTTGCACCAAGACATCACACTTAGTGTCATCACCTTACGTTCCACTAATATAAAACAAAATACGGGAATTGTGGTGAATTCCCAACAAAAATACAAAATCTAGGAAAAAACAGATCAGTGTTATGTATTGTACAGGGAAATATTAAAGAAACACTAAAGCGTTAGGAATACAAACCTGTTTTAATGTCCCTGTCTCTATGTATTGTCAGGTCCCCCTCTCCCACGTGTGCTTTATCAATAAGATAAGATAGGATAAGATAGAGAAGTGTATTCCATGGTACTTTAATATGGTGATATATATATAAAAAAAACACCGATACAAACAACAACAAAACAGGGCTGTTACTCAGTGATGGCGTAGGGATGCACGTTGAACATTGGCGTGGAAAAGGGAGAGGAAGTGCAGCATGGAGAGCAGCGTTGGTGTGGCTCGATACTGAGGAGTAGGTAAAGGTGACTCGAGGCAGTAGCAAGGAAATTGGACCCGAGTGGTGCAGTATTGGGGTCGATAGCCCCTGACAGCAAGCAGCCATCGAAAGCACAAAGAACGGTGTAGAACGGTATGCAGCTGAACGACGGTGTAAAGACCGAATATATCAGCTACACATCGCAGAAATCATTGCTCCCCAAAATTCTGACTACCTGAGAGTCAGAAAGTGACTCCTGAGATTCTTAGTGCAACAAATCAGTGGTGACACGGTGTGTCAGGCTTGCAAGATATAGATGTATTCTAATTTTTAATTTGAATGAGTCTTCCTGTTTATATAAATACTGTCTAAAGAAACATTATTTACTAGACGTGTGTGACCAGTTCTGCAAGCCGCAATCGGTATTTAATCTCTGAACTTATTGGTTCTGATTCTGTGAGGGCATTAATAAAGGGCAGCAAAGAAAATTGCCCTACTGAGAATACTAAATTTGTCCTTTCAAAATATTATTACAGGGGACTTAAGAGGAGGAAGTAACAGCAAGGAAATCAGCGAAAATGAGAAAGGAAGGGGAAGAGATGTAAAAAGATTAATTACATTTTGCATTGTTCAACTAGGGAGACGATAAAAGGAAAATATATATTTTTTCTTCTTCTTCTATTTCTCTCCCTTCCCAAAAACAAAGGGGATCAGAGAAACCCCCCGGATCACTACAGAAAAAACATTCCTAAACTGCATTTGAAATCTAAATAATGGCTCAAAAAATGAAAGGAGAAGACAACTAATACAGAGATAAATAAGGCTATTAACACATTCTGTTCACCTAAAATATAGGAAAACTGACAGAGACAAGAAATCCACAGGGTACCATAGATATGAATCAATCACATACAACAAATGCAGAACCAGAACAATCAAAGATACAACAATCTCTCACTAAGGATGTTGTAGAGGAACTAATGGATAATCTTCACTTTAAAATAAAACAAATGATGCACCCTATGGATACCTTTAATAAAGACATCTCTCAGCTTCTACAAACTTTTTTCTAAACGGGAAGATTAAAAAAAACCTCCAAGAGACAAATGATAAAAGTTTAGAAAGCAGAACTAGATTACTTGAAAATAAAATAAACGATCTGGAGGACAGATCTTGCAAGAAAAATATAAGAATTAGAGGAAGTTCTGAAGAAGTCACAAGCATAGAAACTCTAAAATCATTTGATGGAATTCTTCCCATTTCCTCGCAATCTCTGGGTCATACACCCATTGAACGGCTTCACCGACTTCAAAAGTCTAAAGGTACAAGGGATCAAGCCCCATGAGATGTGAAAATATGATTTGCATCTTATTATTCTAAAAATGTCATGATGCAAGAGGCAAAAAGGAATCCACTTCAAGAACGAAAAATATTTGCAGATATTTCATGTGCGACAAGAGAAGCCAGAAGAGACTTTTTGGAATGTACAAAAGTACTTGGAGAAAATCAAATAAAATACACATGGGGATTTCCAACATCTTGAGATTTCAATATGAGAATTAATCTCTGATGTTTAAAGAACCAATACTAGGACATCAAAAATTAATAAAGATGGGACTAATAAAGTAGTGTAAGACTAGTAAGAAGAACTAAGCCCCAGGAAGAGGAAGAATATGGAATACGTGTTTTAATTATGGTAGGTGACCTTAATTGTGTGATTGACCCTATATGGAATAGAAGTAGCATAAGTAGAGGAACTAGACCTTTACGTACAGACACTACCAATCTACACAATGTTTTTACGGAAAATGTTTTACCCTCTATGATTGCTGGTGGGTTTTATCTATCGAACCATTCCAATTAGAGTAAACTTAGAGGTATTGCGTCAGTTTCAAAAATATATTTCTGGATTAATTTCAGCTAACAAAAAACTAGGACCTCACAGAAGATTCTTAAAAAAAAAAAAAAAGAAAGGTGGTCTGTCTTTTCAAGATGTTTATAAGTTACATGAAGCCTGTATGGTGGCAAATTTTTTAGCTTGGGTTAACTCTAACAATCCCACTATAGCGTGGATAGATATTGATATTCACGACTTCAGGACAGATATTTATTTTAATAGTTTTTGTTAGATTTCCAACAAATTACTGTAGATCCGGTTGTCAAAGGTATGCTGAACGTGACGAAAAAAATCCACAATTTAATCAATTAAACAGTATATTCAATAAAACTACTGTGGGTCAATAAGAAAGACTTGGATCTGGTTAGATAGAGGAGTTGGATATTGGCTGGTTATCAAACGTCCAATTATTCTGGTCAGTTTAGCACCAGATTTGCCTGGACGCCATTACACACATCCATACAGACATACGTTCATAATGACATACAGACGTACATTGCTACTGGCATACATACATACATTGATACTGGCATACATACATACATACAGACATTGATACTGGCATACATACAGACATACACACATACAGACATACATATATACAGACATAATGACATACATATATACATACATAATGACATACAAACATGACATACATACAGACATAAACACACACACACAGCTTATTTTTCAGCCACCCTCCTGTCTCTTACCTTTTCTTTGCAGGAGGGTGGCAGGGGCTGATGGGAGTCAGAGCAGCTTCCTCTTCACTGGCGCATGCTCCTCCCGTACGGAGTGAGCGTTTTTATTTTAGTTTTTTAGTTTTTTAGAGGGGCCCGGTCACGCTATTTCGCGGCCACAGCGCTGACCGGGCCCCTGAAGATATAGGGACCATCGATAGGCCATAAGTGCATGGGCCACCCAATGGGCCTCCCGTCATGGTTGTCACCCCCTAATGGCGGCCCTGTTCACACATAAAGCACTTCAGAAAGCTAAAGTTCTTTAGGGTTCCAAAATGTCCTTTTAAAGTTGGCATTTATTGTACATTAAAGGTAAAGTTGTTTTGTAAGCTATGGTAAAGTCAGGAATGCTATTAAAACTAGGGTAAAGGCTGGCATGTGTCACTCACTGAGACCTGGCTGTCCTCCTCTGATACCGCTACTCCCGTTTCTTTGTTTCGGTGGACTACAATTCTCCCACACTCCCAGACTCAACTGTAAAGGATGTGGTGTAGGCATCCTTCTCTCCCCTCAATGTACCTTTCAACCTATCCTCCCTGCCCCTGCCCTTTCCTTTACTTCCTTTGAAGTTCACACTGTCCTCCTTTTTAAGCCCACTCCTTTAAGAATTGCCATGATCTATCTCCCTTCTGGTCATCCTAGGCTATTCATTGAACACTTTTCTTTCTGGCTACCCCACTTTCTCTCCTCTAGCACTCCCTCATACTTGGGGACTTTAATATCCCAATCAACAACCTCAATTGCCCTGATGCCTCCTGTCTGCTCTCTGTAACCTCCTCATTTGGCCTCACGCAATTGTCTACTTCAGCAACTCATACAGCAGGAAACACTCTTGACCTCATCTTCACCAATCTATGTACCACCTCTAATCTCTCCACTGTTCAATTTCCTTTGTCTGACCACCATCTGCTAAAATTTGACAGCATATCCCGTACCCAAATTTCACCACCCTCAACTCTCCAATCTCGCAGAAACCTCAACTGCCTTGATCTCCAGCATTTCTCCACCAAACTCCAAACTCTCCTGTAACCCATCTCAAATCTAACTTGTCCTAACTCTGCAAACTCACTCTACAACTCATCTCTCTCCTCTCAACGCGACATCATGGCACCTCCTACAATTAAATGCAGCAAGTGCCCCCAATTACAACCATGGCACACCAAGCTCACTCGTTACCTTCAAAAATTTTCTAGAACTGCTGAACGCTGCTGGAGAAAGTCTCACTTTGCATCTAACTTCCTCCACTATAAATTTATGCTACGCTCCTACAGCCTGGCTCTCTCTGCTGCAAAAGTAAATTACTCATAAGTACACTGTCCCATTAACCAAAACACAGATTTCACCCTTTTACTACCCCTCCTTTCTACCACCTTGTCTGCCACAAACTTTGCATCTCACTTCACTGAGAAGATCTCTACAATCAGAGAAGAGATCGCTAATTTCTCTCCTTCCC